GTCTTAAATCTGTATGCTAGATATTGAATAAGGTGGTTTTATTGTTTTTTGTCACTTTGAATAATATTTCTGTTCATGTTAAAAACAAAATCAACTCTCTGTATAAATATATCAGGTGACCGTTAAGGCCCATGGGCCTCTTGTTGATTGTGTTATGTAGTACTGTAGTACTGTAGTACATTTTGTAGTACTTTTCATAGTTTATGTTGTGTTTAGTGTTTTGCTTAATCCAATAAAGATGATATTTTCTTGACTTTTCAGTGCACAGGGCAGAAAACTGTGTCTGGAGGGGTTGATCAAAGCATTAAGCAAAAAGTGCATTTCAGAATTTCTTCACAACAGGTAATTTTGATTGAATGACAGTTATGAGAGCATCCCTACAGTTCATGGATACAAGAATTAGCCAATGAGTCTGCTGTATCCTACTGCATTGTCATGTGGGGACCTTTATGACCCTTTTTGCATTTTCCCCACAGCAATCTGCACGAAAAACTTTTGAAGCCACAGGCCCTTAATTAGGGCCTGAAAAAAATCAAAATACACTGGCCCCAACTAGTTTTCCCTGGCCCAAATAAACGTACAAAATAACGAAAGAAAACAAAAAATAATAACAGCTTGAATGGTTTGTAAATATATTTAATTATATAGGGTTTTTATCATAATGTCAGTTGTTGTTTAACTTGGTCACATACTTTTGTGTAACTTACTATTCTCATGCTGTTTTATAGCGTCAGTATTAAAATGACCGATCCCAACGGAAAAAGAATGGATGTCCTCTTGTTCCCGGCAACATTCGCAAAATATGATCTCTTTACTGTCATCGTATTTTAACCATGGCCGATCTGTTTTCCATGTCGTTTGATTTTTTTTTACCCTCTTCATAAACCTTCCGCGCATTGATTTCATTTAAAGGAGTCTCTGATTTGCGTTTCTTACCGGGTTGTGCACCCTCCTAATATTGAAGGGATCGAAGCTCGCCATGCTCTCCCGACACTTAGAAACCGAAAAAGGAAGTAGTGCGACATCTAGCGGTGAAAGCAAGAATGTTACTGTTAGACTTACCTTGGTACGCAACACATTACCACCATTAGGAATTGAATTCAAAATTGCCGATTTTATCCCGATGCAACATGAAAGGTGTTACAGTAACGAAACACAGACGTAACACAGATATGGTTTTAACAATATATATATATGTATATATGTTTCTATGATATTTTTGCCCTGGCCCGCCAGACTTCTTTCTTCACAAACTTAACTGGTCCGACCTGTAATTTACTCCGGCATTGGACCATTGGCTAATTTCCCAGACTGCCACAGTACCTGTGACATTTGGATTGGGAAATTACAGCAGCACTTTTACAGCATAGAGAAAATGCATGTATTTTCATTAAACACAATAACAATGCATAATATGGGAAAAAGATAAAATTCTATGTATTTCTGACAAATCATTTTCAATCATTATTACAGAATTGATACTAATTGTCTTTTCAAATTGGTTAGATACAAAGCAAATACAACTTTAATTCTTGAGAAAAGGCCTGTGGTAGGCCCAAAATATACCACAAAAAAGTCACTGATTGATGATGCAGAATAAACAAACAAAAATCTGCTCCCCATTGCAATACTTGGCATATAACTGTTTCTTCTTTCTCCCTTGTCCACTCTTTCTTTTTGGAGAGGTCATGCTCAGCTGAAGTGTTTCAATGAAGTGGTGACACCATTGAGTTATTAAAGAAACAGTTAAGATGTACCGAAATTCTAGGAATTCCAAAATGAATTCTTAAGTTACCTACTGATAAATTAAATGTTATGTATGTGGACACCCACAGGAAGATGACAGTGAGTGACTGCCTGGTGAAGTGTATAAAGAAGGGGAAGGGTGATGAACAGGCGCTGGCTGCACAGTGTCTGAGCTTGATGTGTGTCCAACTGGGACTAGACCTTGAGGAGGAAGTTCAGGCTAACAAGCCACAGCTCCTGGCCACCATGACTGACAACAGTGCTGCAGTGAAAGGGAGAGCCGAGGTAAGGTGTCAGCATTTCAACTTCAATTTTGCAGGCATTGTATGAAGTGCCTTCATGAAAGCTGGATCTAAATCGGGCAAAGATATTGATAGGGATATATTGAAAAATGTCTTTGAGATATTTGGAGTGCATTGAAATTTGTTACTTTAATTTTATATGAAATATTTGGAGTTTCCCTGAAATTTTTTATTACTTCAATTTGATCGGGTGACATCATCGATGACATTGATTAGACCTTACAATAATTGCATCAGGTCTGTAGCGGAAATGTTGCTAGCGTTAATGTCATACTAGAACATGTATTGTAGAGAAAAATAGAAAGCAGTTGAAGAAGCAAAAGTCGCTGATTGTGGTCAGTGAAAGTGCTGTCATTGTAAGATTATTTTGAATATTTCACAAATTTGAATACTCAAGCGTAGGTATAATGACAGATAAAGACATGAATAAAAAGCATGTTAATAACATTTCTGAGACATGTGTTAAGGACCAAAGTGATAACTAATTTAAACAATGTCATTTTTTTTCCAGTGTGCACTGACTCTTGGAATTTGTCATTTTCTGGCTTGCAGTGACATTGATGTATGTATTATACATTGAATAAAATTAATATGTTACTAGAACTTGAAAAAATATGGTGAAATTATATTTGTTTTTGTTAATAATATGTATGTTCCATTATTATGTGTTGTAAAGTTGGGCTTATCTACTGTCCAATTCTAAAAACAACACTTTAAGTTGATTATATCAGCTGCAGTGGTATGAAAAATAAAAATTAAAAAAATGTTATCAGGAATCAAATAAAAATCTTAGTTTGATCCAGTTTAAACATTTAACAATAATCACCTATTTTGAGAAAAGAAATCTTAGTTGGTTCCAGTTTAAACATTTAACAATAATCACCTATTTTGAGAAAAGAAATCTTAGTTGGTTCCAGTTTAAACATTTAACAATAATCACCTATTTTGAGAAAAGAAATCTTAGTTGGTTCCAGTTTAAACATTTAACAATAATCACCTATTTTGAGAAAAGAAATCTTAGTTGGTTCCAGTTTAAACATTTAACAATAATCACCTATTTTGAGAAAAGAAATCTTAGTTGGTTCCAGTTTAAACATTTAACAATAATCACCTATTTTGAGAAAAGAAATCTTAGTTGGTTCCAGTTTAAACATTTAACAATAATCACCTATTTTGAGAAAAGAAATCTTAGTTTGATCCAGTTTAAACATTAACAATAATCACCTATTTTTCAGGATGTTATGAAGACAATGGATGCGTTGGAGGGTGTTTTCAGACTGTCCTACAGGAAGGGAGATAAAAGCATTCCTAATCTTAATCCTGAAATGTGTCGATTACATGCTGCAGCTCTCAGTGCCTGGAGTCTACTGCTGTCCATCGCTCCCCCATTCTTAGTCAACAAACTTGTGGAAAGGTACAGTATCAATGCAAAGGATGTCCACATAGCAAGCAAAACATTTATCCAAAACAGGCAAATTTTCAGAACACTGGTTTCATGTACAGAAATGTATCCTGTTGAACTGGATTGATACATGTTCCCCAATCTGTTTCATGTATCACATTTAGTTTTAAAGTTTCTTGCGCAGGATTGGAATACTGAAAATAATTGAAGAAATACATTTTGTATCAATTGTGTGTGTATAAACTCCAGTTTATTAATTTCAAGGAAAGAATTGTACAAATGACATTTATGAAACTTGTCCAAAAGTTGGTATGTGAAGTCATGATCATTTCAAAATGAAAAATGTCTTGGATAGGTTGTAAACATTTAAAGATACTTCTAGTATGAACCTACAACAAAACTTCCTATAAAGATCTGCCAATGAAAATAGTGGACAACACAAAAAGACCCAAGTACTGATATAATTACAATAAAATAATTTCAGTTTAACTTCCAATGTTACCGGTAATTGTTCATTAACCAATTATATTTGTTATAATTTACAGCCATATAGGAAAGCTGCCAGACTTGCTACTCAGCAATGATGTGGAACTGAGGATAACTGCTGGAGAAACCATTGCCCTAATGTATGAGCTGGCAAGGGAGGGAGATGAGGTTAGTAAACAAAACAAACTTTTTATTTATTATACACTGAGGAGTTGGGAACAAATAGGACATTGTTAGCTCACCTGGTCCTTCGTGAGCTTATGCCATACCGTGGCGTCCGTCGTCCGTCCGTCCGTACGTACGTCAACAATTTCTTTAAACGACTTCTTCTTCTTAACCACCAGTTGGAATTAAACTAAATTTGACTGGAAGCATCCCTAGGTGGTGGGGATTCAAAATTGTACAAATGGTGGGGCTGACCCCCCAGGGGGCTGAGTGGCGGGGCCAAAAGGGGTCAATTTGCCCCTATTGCTTTTAGCGGATTCTTCTCTGGAACGAAGAAGTGGATATCAACCATATTTGACTGGAAGCATCCCTAGGTGGTGGTGATTAAAAATTGTTCAAATGGTGGGACTGACTCCCCAGGGGGATAAGGGGCGGGGCCAAAAGGGGACAATTTGGCTATATTGCTATAAACGACTTCTTCTGCAGAACTGTGCACTGGATATCAATATTATTTGATCAAAAGCATTCCTGGGAGGCAGGGATTTAAAATTGTACAAATGGTGTGGCTGACCCCCCAGGGGGCTGAGGGGCAGGGCCAAAAAGGGTATTTGGCTATACTGCTTTAAGTGACTTTTTCTCTGGAACTGAGCGATGGATATCAACCTTATTTGACTGGAACATCTCTAGGTGGTGGAGATTCAAAATTGTACAAACTGTTGGGCTGACCCCCAAGGGGGCTGAGGGGGCGGGGCCAAAAGGGGCAATTGGGTTATATTGCTATAAACGACTTCTTCTGCAGAACTATGCCATGGATATTGATCATATTTGGTCAGAGGTATTCATGGGAGGCATGGATTCAAAATTGTACAAATGGTGGGGCTGACCCCCCGGGCTAAAAGGTGGGCCAATAAAATGTATTACATGGAAATGGTTGAGATCCCCACCATATAACCATATATACAATTGCTGAGTATAAAGCGAAGAATGCACATTTGCTTCCAGGATGTCGCCTAGGGTCTGGCCCCACCCTTGGAGACATAGGCCCTGGGCCATAACTTTAAAACGGTTGAGATCCCCACCCCAAAACTATATATACAAATGCTGGGCATAAAGAGACAAATGTAGTCATGATATTAGAATTGATGCGAGGGTATGCCCCACCCTTGCAGACTTGGCCCCTGGGTCATAACTTTGAGACGGTTGAGATCCCCACCCCAAAACCATATATACAAATGCTGGGCATAAAGAGACAAATGTAGTCATGATATTAGAATTGATGCGAGGGTATGCCCCACCCTTGCAGACTTGGCCCCTGGGTCATAACTTTGAGACGGTTGAGATCCCCACCCCAAAACCATATATACAAATGCTGGGCAAAAAGAGACAAATGCAGTCAAGAAATTAAAATCGATCCTGGGGTCTGGACACAACTCTAGGGACCTAGTTTCTGAGTCAAAGCTTGGAAACAGTTGAGATCCCCACCCCATAACCATACATAAAATTGCTGGGGAGTAAAAATCTAATATAGCTATGCTACAAGGATTGGCCTTGGGGTCTGGCATCTTCCCTTGATCTCATTTGGAGAATAGTTTGCCATAATTGATTAGGTATCCAGGTGAGTGATACAGGCCCTCTGGGCCTCTTGTATTTTGAAATATCACTGTAAAAAAAATATTTGGAGTTCATTGTAAAATATAGGTATATTTCATCCTTGCTTAAATTAATTTTAAAGTTCTGCATTTTTGTGTAGAGATTGGTCATTATCTGATTATTTCTGGGGATGCATCAGATTGTATTTGTTTTCTTTGAATAGAAGAAATATACTTGATACATTTTTTACAAAATAAACAATGTTCTGAACGTTGTGCTTGAAAATCGGTCTTAAAAGAGCTTCACGAAGATTACAGTTAAAATAATTATGTGAAAACCAGTGGTTTTCCTGGTGAACTTGGCTGCAACATCAGTTTCATTTTGTGTTTCAGGAATTTGAAGGGGATGATATAGATACATTGATTGACACATTAAAGACACTTGCCACCGACTCGCAGAAATACAGGGCCAAGAAAGAGAGGCGCCAACAGCGCTCCAGCTTCAGAGATATTCTTCGAACTGTAGAGGTAAGATTATTTTACTATAATGTAGGCATTTAAATGTCTATTGATGTTGGATATAATCATTTCAAGGAGTGATCATGTTTTACTGCTACAGAGTGATCAATGTAATTTAAATTATTCACCCCTACATTTGTTAACTGGACCTGCCCAGTCTTTGCTATGGTAAGGTTCATATGTGACTTTAGGGATGAATGGGTTAATTAATTAGTTCATACTACTGGTAAGAAAATGTGAAATAATTCGTGAATTCATGTAAATAGATTAATCAAATGTTGATTATGAATGTAAATAAATGGAGTATATAGATTAACAAATGATACTAGTTTTAATTCTTTACAAAAAATTAAGATCATGAAGCAACATCCATACAGAACTACGTATTCGTGACCTAGATATGAATGCATTAAATGAAACGGAACTATGTTACTACTGATTAGGAACACAAAGCAAGTTCTTCTGAAGATGCATTTATACATGATAGAAATTCAAGTGTATTAGTTGAGGGGTATACATATTAAAATATTGTACACTATTTTCAGAAATCTTCTTGATCAAATGATGGCCCAAAATCTAAATTTCCTATATAGTCAGCACACATTATTTTTGCTACAAGATCATGTGATAACCTAGAAAATAAATTGGCTTTCATGAGTGTGTATTTATAACAACTTTTCTGTTTCTTATGTAATCGATTCTTTGTTACAGGAAGGAGACTCCCCAGAAAATTGTGTGAAATTTGGGAAGGAGAATTTTTTGATTGACTCCTGGGTGAAACAGAACCAGTATGATGCTTTGTGTTTAGCTCTTACCTCGGGAATCTACCAACATCTACAGGTACAGATATTTCTCGGGGTTGTAGCATGTCACGTGTGTGATCTTATAACTGACTGTTAAATGTAAACAGTAGTTATGTTAGCATTACAACAACTGATAATCATATATACTATTTTTATACGTTTATTGTATCGAAAGTGTCATATCCCGGGGGCCTTTGTTGGAAGGGGGACTCCCAATCACTTAGAAACCTGGGATATGATACTTTCTTTTTCTGTGATTTTATTAAGAATGTATATGATTATCTCCCTTTACTTGTAATGTAATGTGTAATTGTTATTTTACATGTTTGTCGCAAAAATAGCTCTCAAGAGCTAATGTTCTTCGTTTACATGTATGCAACTTTAAATAAAGTTTCTTGTTTTCTTGTATTTCTTGTATAACTGATGATGCTATATTTTTACTAAAGTAATGGTTATTATGGCAATCAAATTATGGAGGTGTTAGGACATTTTTTACATTGTACAGTTGATTTACTACAGTATTTTTTCAGCATTATGTACTTCTTGAGACAAAATGAAAATGATAAGTACGTGGACACCGAGAATACTCTAGTACATTCTTAAAATTTTCTGATAATATTGGAATGAAAATGTTTTTAGTGCTACAATGGTTTAAAAATATGATTTTAGTGCTACAATGGTTTATATGATTTTAGTGCTACAATGGTTTAAAAATACGATTTTAGTGCTAAAATGGTTTAAAATTAGAATGAATGTTACTTGTATTTTGCAGGATAACATCCTAGTACGAGAAGTGTTTGGCCTAGGTGAACCTCTCCTCCCCACTGCTCCTGGTTCTTCATCTAAACCAAGCAAGTGGGAAAGAGTAAGTATTTTACAAAAGAGTAATTGACTGACCTAAAGTTATCTAATCTAGCATTTCTCAGCTCAAAACAGCACACTAATTGCAGTAACAAGTCAAGCTGTCTTTCTCAATATTAATTTTGAAAATAAGGAGCAAAAGTAATTCTTAAAAAATTGTTGAATATTGATATGCCGCAACAATCCTCAGGATTTAACCTTTTGTAGTCCACAACGATTACTGTTTCCTTTGCCTGCTTATGAAATCTTTTCAGATTGGGATATTGAGATGATTAAATCTTCAATTTATCTGTAATCTTAAACAAGAAGAATCAAAATTTTGGGAAACAATTTTTAGATATACAGTTAAAAACTAAAAAGAAGTGTTTATAATCTGAATAAAGCAATTGAAGAGTGTGTAAATAACTGTGATAATTGTTTACTTCCAGGCCCATTACAATGCTGCTGTATTCAAGGCCAGAACTAAAGTGCGGTCCAAACACAGAGACAAGCGAACTGCGATGATAAATGGGGATTAACCAGACATCTCTGCCATGTACGACTGTGAGACTGACTGATTATTTATGTATAAATGTACAGACCACAATCTCATTGAAACTCCAACAGAAGGCCGTACCAATGGCGACGGTTCTGGAGCATTTCGATATGACCAGCTGCGAGGTTGGCAAATAAGGTGCCGAAGACACAAGACCATGATTTTAATCAGATTGTATATATAAATATCGCTTAATGAAATAATGAAAGGATAGAAAGGTGTGTGTAAGAGTACAGTGATGTTATATTATCAGTTTTATGATATTTTACAGTGCTAGTGGAAAACTTGAGAATAATACAAGTGGTCCATCATTTCTAGTTGGAGTAGATGACATGCTGGCTCAGTCGTCATCAGTATACAATTTGTTTCTGCCCACATTTTGATATATTCAACATATAATACCTGTCTGTCTATACAAATGAACTACTTTTAAAGGTATAATGTAATCAAAAGACATTGGTTTTACAATATTGCTAGTTGGGTTGAGGAAGCATAAGTTGAATCTCAATGCCTGTGATAAACACAACCAAAACTGAACAGCTTCGGACCTCAGTTTAATCCATTTCTCCTGTCGGATATGAAACTGGATTATGTTTTTTGTTTGTTTTTTTTTTTAACTTTCTTTGTTAACTTAACCATCAGCAAGTAAAAACAATAAACCCTGTAAAACAGGATACAAAGCTGATAAATATGAGAGAAAACAAGTCTGTTTAAAAAGATTTTTTTTTAAAGAATAATGGTCTGCTGAGATCGCTTATTAGACATGTTGTAAACATCATAGGATTTCGCGATTTCAAATAGCATTGAATTTCTAACCTACAATTATTTTGAGATATGAATTGAAGCTATGGGATATAGTGACAGTAGTGTTAATATTGCTACCTGTTTGATTCCGTTTGCAATAATATGGTTTTTAATTCTCTGAAGTTGTGGAAGGTCATATTTTATGTTGGCTAATGTACATGGTAATGTATGAACATGTACCAGTCAGGTAAAATTTGGCATTTTCTTGACATCAGAATTCTGACTCGACACAGTGAGGTCGGACAACAAAGACTTGGTAATGGTATTGACGAAGATGAGAACTGTTATTAAATTTCAGGTGACCTTGATTGTAGTATAGGATTGCTGGTGTAAACAGTATAGGAACACTCCACATCTATAGCAATCATGGGTATTGCCTACACATTTTTGTAATTTTCAACCATGACAATGAGTATGCAGACCGTTTTTGTGAGGTCTATCTAAAAAGAAATTCCACATAGTTAACTGAACGATTTGTGTAGACGATTGAAGTCTGCAAGGGAGATAATTTAGAGGGACAATGCAGATATAGCCCTTACGTTTTAATAGCCAAAAGTCGAAAATATTCAGTTACAATTTCATTAGTGGGTGTGCATCCCAAAAGTTTTATTTTATTAACTGTATCAAGTTATTCAAACGCCAGGGTTAAAGAGACATATTTTACGCCATCACTTTGAAGATATGTTTTCACCATTTACATTTATTAACATTTTTGAGTGATTAAGGAATTGATGAATGTTGTGTGGATTGAATACACTGTTTGCTTTGAAAAATTGTGATGAAATAGTTCATTAAATTCTTGTTTATGTTGAGTACCGAGGGTACTTTTGATAGCCTGCGTGAGAGAATGGTAGGGGTATTCATCATTCATGGTTAAAACACATTGGTTTTGGTAGGATTTAAGGTAAATTTGATGTCAACTATGACTTCTTATTATTTGATGTTCAACATTTATATATGAATTTTCAATTCTATAAAACCAATTTTTAAAAGAAAAAGAATTTTTACTGTCGGGCTATATTTGATTTTGAATCTTGATTGGTCATATTTAATTCTTGGACACTATCAGACTAAAACCAGCTGGTAAGACACACTCCTATAGAATGTCCTTTATTGGTCCTATTTGTTTATGTAACCAATGTGTAGCCATGTCTGCACAGATCTGGATTGTAAAATAATGTCTCCGACTTGGAAAATAAAATAATACTAAAAATCTGTTTAAATCTTGTATTTATTTCTAACAGTCACTTAGTTCGCTTCACCCGTTATTTGATTATATGAAGATGTTTGAAAATCTCAAGGACAAGTCGATCAAAGAGAATCTTTTTAGCCCACCATCATCTGATGGTGGGCTATTCAAATCACCCTGCGTCCGTGGTCCATGGTCTGTCGTCCGTCCTTAAACAATTCTTGTTATCGGTATTTCTCAAGAAGTACTAGAGGGATCTTTCTCAAATTTCATATGTAGGTTCCCCTTGGTCCTTACCTGTGCAGGGCAACTTTTGAGACTGATCGAATAAACAACATGGCTGACAGGCAGCCATCTTGGATTTTGATATTGAAAGTTTGTTATCGCTATTTCCCCAAGAAGTACCAGAGGGATCTTTCTCAAATTTTATATGTAGGTTCCCCTTGGTCCTAAGCTGTGCAGGGCAACTTATGAGACTGATCGGATAAACAACATGGCCGACAGGCAGCCATCTTGGATTTTGATATTGAAAGTTTGTTATCGCTATTTCTCAAGAAGTACCAGAGGGATCTTTCTCAAATTCATATGTAGGTTCCCCTTGGTCCTAAGCTGTGCAGGGCAACTTTTGAGACTGATCGGATAAACAACATGGCCGAAAGGCAGCCATCTTGGATTTTGATATTGAAAGTTTGTTATCGCTATTCTCAAGAAGTACCAGAGGGATCTTTCTCAAATTTTATATGTAGGTTCCCCTTGGTCCTTAGCTGTGCAGGGCAACTTTTGAGACTGATCGGATAAACAACATAGCCGACAGGCAGCCATCTTGGATTTTGATGTTGAAATATTGTTATCGCTATTTCTCAAGAAGTACCGGAGGGATCTCTCTCAAATTATATATGTAGGTCCCCCTTGGTCCTTAGTTGTACAGGGCAACTTTTGAGACTGATCGGATAAACAACATGGCCGACGGGCAGCCATCTTGGATTTTGATATTGATTGTTTGTTATCGCTATTTCTCAAGAAGTACCAGATGGATCTCCTTGGTCCTAGCTGTGCAGGGCAATTTTATAGACTGATCGGATAAACAACATGGCCGACAGGCAGCCATCTTGGATTTTTATAGTGAAAATAGTGAAAGTTTGTTATCGCTATATTTGGGGAAGTATCAGAGGGATCTTTCTCAAATTTTCTATGTAGGTTCCCCTTGATCTCTCGTTGTGCATGTTATATTTTGAGACTGATCATTAAAACAAACTGGATTAAAAGAAGAACTAAACAGATCTTTCTCATATTGCAATGATCGATTCTATTTCTTTCACATTAAGTACTGTACTAGTAAATATGTAAAATGACAAACTCACTTTGAAAGTTGGCTTTCATACACATCAGTATTTAGTTTAAATCAAAAGTTACCTCAAGGTGCATTTACTGTTAACATGACTCGATCAAACAGATGAGAGGAAAGAAGAGAAAAGATCGAACTGATAAAGAACTAATGAAGATGGTACAAAGGTGGGCGCCAAGATCCCTCTGGGATCTCTTGTTTCTTATATCTTCACTGAATTGAGGCTTCGTCATAGTGATGTGGGTTCAAAATTGTACAAAGAGAAAACGGAGAACATGGCCAAAAAGGGAAAAGTTTGCCATATGGCACCAAGCGGGTTCTATGTAAGTATGTGATAAATATAAACTGATGTTGGTTGGAAGCATGCTCGGATGATGGTTTAAAATGTTCAGACAGGTATTGGCCTAGCGATTGGTCATTTCTTTTTACTTAAGATAAATCGAATGGGTATAATAATGTCTTCAGTTTTGTTGTGACATTCCTGAGGTGCAGGGAACATAAGTGTGTGCAATCCCTGGGATTTTGAGACTGACAAATCACTCCGTTGTCAAAAATCCTATGGCTCTTCCATCAAAAACTGTTCTAAATACTTACATGACGTGAAGAAATCATATGACACAATATATGAATTTTCAATATTTTATTTTCAAAAAATGTAGGAAAATGTTTATATATAAATACCTTAAATATTTTTGCGGTGTTCTAATTTTAGTGTTTTTCCACTTTAAACATTGTGCTTATTGAAGTTTCACTATATAGTTTTGTATTGCTGAGATTATGAGCACGCTAATTCATTGATGCATTAATAAGTTAAAATTCGATAATGTCCGCTAAAATAAGTACTTTTGCAGTATTGTAGAGTTATAAATCCGATGGTAACTTTGAAAGCTTGCTTTTCAAGATTTTAGTTGACATTGTCACTAGTCACTACCCTCAATTATTCTGCAAATTCATGGATTTTGAAAAAAGTATACTTAATCAGTCATGATTGTGAACCAAAAATGATACTTTAGAAACCATTTTCATGTTGCTGAAATGTAAAAGGATCATGAATAAAATAAAAGTTGGTAAGAGTTGGGTACATATTCTAGCACACAGTTCCATGTACACATTGCACCCCCTATTTACTTAGCAATTATATTGCTACAAAGTTGACGCGAATAGTTGTAAAAATGTGGGACACTACAGTTAGTGCTTCATTGTCTGCGACTTGGTGACTTGTAGATATTCTGCCTCTGAAAAACACATGTATTTAATATATTTTTAAATATAATGTATAGTTAGTCCTTGTCTGTCTCTTGTATGGCTTGATAAAGGAGCGGGCTGCTCCAAAAAAATCGACATTTAAGTGTTCTAAGTACATAAATAACACATGCATACATTTGATGTACGTTAAAAAGCTTTTAAGCAATTAATATATGTAATGTATTTAGTAATATTAATGTTTCTTATAGTCGTCACATTTTTCAATATTTAATATACATATTCAAAATTTAAACGCGATCAAATTCTGAAACCTCCTTCACACTTGGAAATACTTGAACTTAATTAGTAAGTGTTCAATGCTGTTGTTGATGAGCGGCGGAGTGCTAGTTAAAACACAGTTTGTGAGTGCTAGTTAAAACACAGTTTGTTCCGAGGGCGGTAACCTGTGTCATTGTTTGTTTTCATTCTTAGTCGGCGGAAAGGTACTAGCGGGCACATGCATGACCGATGCGACTCAAACAAGCAACCGCCCCGAGTTCGATACGAATGACGGTAAAGAATCTCCAAAACCAGTTTAACTATTGATTGCTGGTAAATAACCATGTTGATATTTTGAAATATGTAGCAAGTACTTTAGCACTGGCTTAAAGTTACAAGGTAACAATAACTAGGCCGGATGCTGACTACATTTGTTTTGAGGTGTAGACGGATACTGATCTCAGTACAACAACTGTTAACCTGTAGTCATTGTTTAGAAGCAGTGACATGGTTTCTAATTTTGGAAACTCCACGAATAGAAATAATGAACATAGGATTACGAGCTGCTAAAACTTGTTCTGTTGACAACAACGTATTTGAAATGGTTAATGTGGTACCCAACATTACTTAATGTACAAAATCAATTAATTTATATGTAACCCTGGTAAATACTAGCCGCAATATATCGCTCGGGTATAGAGAACTTCTCTTTAGCTCGATCGGTTGAGCGTTAGACTAGTAAGCCAGAGGTCCCGGGTTCGATCCCATGCGGAGGTAGTGATTCATATTTAATTAATCATGCGCTCTGTTACATATATATAATGTTAACAAATATGTTATGATTGAACATGTATAGTATTACAATAATAGACAGTTCTAAAAAACACCCACATTAATAAACAATATATGTACACCAACACAATGTAATACAACAATAGGCATGCATTCACTTGGTAGTCACATTGAGTACGGATTTAGCTACACCACAAGAGTCTAGGTTATACAAAAAATCGTTCTTTCATCCAGAATATTTGATATCGTCAAAGTTCTGTGCTTTGGGGAGCTGTTTTGTCTCCACTGTATTGCCAAAACTTTCTGTCTTAACTTGTCGGATTCTTATACAATATAAAGAGCACATGCAAACTGAATCGTAACTGCCGATTCCGTAATTTATACTGATGAAAACGATTATCAAGTCCCTTTAGATAGTTTGCCACGGATTTGTCAACTATATTTCAAGCACAACATTGTCTTAATGAAAGATTTCATCATGTATAACGTTCTCACATATTATAAGTCATGTCCGTTTTCATTTGTTTGTGCGTTTTTGTCGCTTCAGAGACGGCTATCTAGTTTTGTAACCTTTGACAGTTTAAAATAATTATATTTCTAAGCTAACGAGGTCTTCATCATTCGCCAAAAGGTTATTTGTGATAACCGCTGCTGATTTCCCGTAGTACACACAAACCATAGTGTGCATTTTTCAAAATTGGACCATAAATGAGAATGTAAAGTTGATTATGATTGTATGGGATCGGTGTAATCATGTTAGCTAAACTTAGTTTGGTCTTACACCAACAAATGTCACGAGGCGATAGTCGCACTTTCCAGGTCAACGGTGACGTCACAGATGCTGTTTTCCTCCTTTTCGCTTTCTTTCAGCAGACGTTTGATTTCTTTGATAATGTCACGAAATGAAGGGCGCCCAGAAGGAGTGAAATTCCAACAACTCTCCATCATCTGAAACCTATACGAATGGTTTAATTGTAAGTAATACCCTCTTATAAACATACCTATATTACAAGGTGTTTTCACAGTTAAATATAGATTTAAATGACTGTTTGTTTCAATCGTTGCAATGGCAAAATGAAGCATACAGCATTGATCGATCATACTCCCAATTGTATTATTTGTGGACAAAGGTAAGTCTAAGAATTTGTCATTGTGCAGTACTCATTTTTCACTCGTAATGAATAAATATCCATACAATTGTATTTTATACGTGACATTTTCTGAATGTTGATGTCAATGTGAAATGTAGGTACCGTGTAGAAGTAAAGCTTAAAATTAATGTCTACATTTTTATTCCGATAAATGATGTACCCTAAGAAAAAATTAAGCATCTCGTATTAATCTGTTCTGTGACAGCCAAATATTACCCGGCATCATGTGGGTTGAGGAAAGAACAGTGCTTGTTCATTAAAATGTCATCTTGTATTTTTCAAAAAACAAAACCCCAGTCGTTACATAAATATGGTTAAATAATGAATATTTTCGACATTGGCCATTTAAGAAAGAGTGATATCTGAAATGGATGGGCTATTTTACATGGTACGTACAGTCTTGGAGGACAGAAGGGAGGTTTGGGCAGACGGCGACCCTCCTTCAGGTACTTGTACATATCCCAGTTGTCGACAGCGGCATACGGATTGGCTCCTCTGGTGATCAGCTCCCACAGAACCACGCCAAAGGACCACTGTTATGAGGAATAGTATTAACGAATAAATGATTTCTTTCTATTTATTTTAATATGATTTAGTTTGAAATAAGTAAATAAACGATATTTACATGTTTCCTTTAAGGACGGTTCTCACTCGTTAAGTGATGTATAAAACATCACTTTCATTTTTTAAATCATTGAATCAATATGTTAAAGGAACAAGAAAGGACAATAAAATACCTGACTACCTATTACTTTTCAAACTAATATATCTAGAACATATAGAACCGCAGGCTCCTGTACTCCTCTACTGGGACTTAGCCCTTTCATCCCTGTAGACCAGAATGGACCTATCCAGATAAATGCATGGTAGAAACTACTGAAGTTATATAGGGGTGAAAAAGTTTATGTGGTATCAGAAAGAGATGAAAAGACGTCCGATATTCCAATGATCTAACATCTTGTTTAGTTCCTCAAGCATATCTACTTCATTTTGATGAAATTCACGTGCTATGTAGTAAAGTCATCCATGTTGACAATTGTATTATATACTATCATATAGTATATGGAAGAAGACATATTCTTTTACTGTGTACGTATTAGTATCTAACTTACGTTGACAATTCTCGATAAATAACGCCGAAATTTTCACCAATGTTTGATTCACGAAACACTCACCACATCAGACTTGGCGGAGTATTTGCCCTTCTCAAGACATTCTGGGGCCATCCACTTAACTGGCAGTTTTTTCTTGTTGTCGCTAGTGTAGTAGTGAGAGGAGTAGATGTCTCTGGATAACCCAAAGTCAGCTACCCTTGCTATAAATTGTTCATCCAGCCTGTCAAAAGAAACACAAACTTAGCTATCCTCGCTATAAACTGGACATCCAGCCTGTCAAAAGAAACCCAAACTTAGCTAGCCTCGCTATAAACTGGTCATCAAGCCTGTCAAAAGAAACCCAAACTTAGCTACCCGCGCTATAAACTTGGCATCAAGCCTGTCAAAAGAAACCCAAATTTAGCTAGCCTCGCTATAAACTGGTCATCAAGCGTGGCAAAAGAAACCCAAACTTAGCTACCCTCGCTATAAACTGGTCATTAAGCCTGTCAAAAGAAACCCAAACTTAGCTACCCGCGCTATAAACGGGTCATCAAGCCTGTCAAAAGAAACCCAAATCTAGCTAGCCTCGCTATAAACTGGTCATCAAGCGTGGCAAAAGAAACCCAAACTTAGCTACCCTCGCTTTAAACTGGTCATCAAGCCTGTCAAAAGAAACCCAAAGTCAGCTACCCTCGCTATAAACTGGTCCTCAAGCCTGTCAAAAGAAACCCAAACTTAGCTTCCCTCGCTATAAACTGGTCATTAAGCCTGTCAAAAGAAACCCAAACTTAGCTACCCGCGCTATAAACTGGTCATCAAGCCTGTCAAAAGAAACCCAAATTTAGCTAGCCTCGCTATAAACTGGTCATCAAGCGTGTCAAAAGAAACCCAAACTTAGCTACCCTCGCTATAAACGGGCATCAAGCCTTTCAAAAGAAACCCAAACTTAGCTAGCCTCGCTATAAACTGGTTGTTTAGCTTGTCAAAAGAAACCCAAACTTAGGTTGCCTCGCTATAAACTGGTCATCAAGCCTGTCAAAAGAAACCCAAACTTAGCTACCCTCGCTATAAACGGGCATCAAGCCTGTCAAAAGAAACCCAAACTTATGTAGCCTCCCCTAAACTGGTCATTCAGCCTGTCAAAAAACCCCAAAACTTCGCTCCCCTCGCTATAAACTGGTCATCAAGCCTGTCTAGAGAAACCCAAACTTAGCTACCCTCGCTATAAACGGGCATCAAGCCTGCCAAAAGAAACCCAAACTTAGCTAGCCTCGCTATAAACTGGTTGTTAAGCTTGTCAAAAGCAACCCAAACTTAGCTACCCTCGCTATAAACTGGTCATTAAGCCTGTCAAAAGAAACCCAAACTTAGCTACCCGCGCTATAAACTGGACATCCAGCCTGTGAAATGAAACCCAAACTTAGCTATCATCGCTATTAACTGGACATCCAGCCTGTCAAAAGAAACCCAAACTTAGCTATCCTCGCTATAAACGGGACATCCAGCCCGTCAAAAGAAACCCAAACTTAGCTAGCCTCGCTATAAACTGGTTGTTAAGCTTGTCAAAAGCAACCCAAACTTAGCTACCCTCGCTATAAACTGGACATCCAGCCTGTCAAAAGAAACCCAAACTTAGCTACCCTCGCTATAAACGGGCATCAAGCCTTTCAAAAGAAACTCAAACGTAGCTAGGCTCGCTATAAACTGGTTGTTTAGCTTGTCAAAAGAAACCCAAACTTAGCTAGCCTCACTATAAACTGGTTGTTTAGCTTGTCAAAAGAAACCCAAACTTAGGTTGCCTCGCTATAAACTGATCATCAAGCCTGTCAAAAGAAACCCAAACTTAGCTAGCCTCGCTATAAACTGGTTGTTTAGCTTGTCAAAAGAAACCCAAACTTAGGTAGCCTCGCTATAAACTGGTCATCAAGCCTGTCAAAAGAAACCCAAACTTAGGTAGCCTCCCCTAAACTGGTCATTCAGCCTGTCAAAAAACCCCAAAACTTCGCTACCCTCGCTATAAACTGGTCATCAAGCCTGTCAAGAGAAACCCAAACTTAGCTACCCTCGCTATAAACTGGTTGTTAAGCTTGTCAAAAGCAACCCAAACTTAGCTAACCTCGCTATAAACTGGACATCCAGCCTGTCAAAAGCAGCCCAAACTTAGCTTCCCTCGCTATCAACTGGACATCCAGCCTGTCAAAAGAAACCCAAACTTAGCTACCCTCGCTATAAACCGGGCATCCTGCCTGTCAAAAGAAACACAAACTTAGAAACCCTCGCTATAAACTGGACATCCAGCCTGTCAAAAGAAACCAAAACTTAGCTATCCTCGCTATAAACTGGACATCCAGCCTGTCATAAGGAAACCCAAACTTAGCTACCCTCGCTTTAAACTGGTCATCAAGCCTGTCAAAAGAAACACAAACTTTGCTACCCTCGCTCTAAACTGGTCATCAAGCCTGTCAAAAGAAACCCAAACTTAGCTACCCTCGCTTTAAACTGGTCATCAAGCCTGTCAAAAGAAACCCAAACTTAGCTACCCTCGCTATAAACTGGTCATCAAGCCTGACAAAAGAAACCCAAACTTGGCTATCCTCGCTATTCACTGGTCATCCAGCCTGTCAAAAGAAACCCAAACCTAGCTACCCTCGCTATAAACTGGTCATCAAGCCTGACAAAAGAAAACCAAACTTAGCTACCCTCGCTATAAAATGGACATCCAGCCTGTCAAAAGCAACCCAAAATTAGCTACCCTCACTATTAACTGGACATCCAGCCTGGTAATAGAAACCAAAACACAGCAACCCTCGCTATAAAGTAAACGACCTATTAACAGCTTAGGTCATTTAAGGACGTACCTCCATATGTATGTGTGCCGGAGATAGGGTATGGTGGTGAACTTGCCTCCTTGTGATGCCGACTTTATGGTGCTATCTCAATAAAAACCATGCCGAAGACACCAAGCACAGCAATTCGCCCGGTCACATTATACTGACAACGGGTGAACCAGTTGTTGCCATTATCATTAATGCTGTACGTCAAGCAGGGACTTCTATTTTTAAGGACTTTGGTATGTCCCTGCCCTGGGGTAGAACCCATTGCCTTCCTAACCAGGGCGAACGTTCAACATAAAAGCCAAAAGTGAGGTATTTCCAAGCAAGGCGCTAGAAAATTAAAGGTAGTTAGAAAAAGAGAGAGAAATATACAGATCCCAAATATTGCAATGGGTGCAGCAGATATATTTTGGTCGCTTTTGTTTCCCCAAACAGAGGGCACCAAAGCAAATCCTCAATTCTGCAGGGGGTTCCCACATTAATCGCCTCTAACGTTAGCAGCAGGTGTATCTTTTCTCGACCCCGACCTGCAGAGGTGACCTTTGCTATGAACTGGTCATCCAGATTGCTGTAGTAAACGAATTTATCATCAAATACGTCCTACTTTTCCGTATTCTTCAAGATACTAAACCATATACTTGGGAATTATGGGTATATTTTCGCTCATCTTCGTCGAATCCATGTTCATTCAATATTGGTTTATATTCGTTACATGGGATCATAGTAATAGACGACAACAAAACATAACCAGACACAGTCTAGAACTGTGTACAAAGATAATAACAGAAACTGATAACAAAACATGGTTAGACACAGTCTATATCTGTGTACAAAGAAATAAACAGAAACTGATAACAAAACATGGTTAGACACAGTCTATATCTGTGTACAAAGAAATAAACAGAAACTGACAACAAAACATGGTCAGACACAGTCTAGATCTGTGTACAAAGACATAAACAGAAGCTGACAACAAAACATGGTCAGACACAGTCTAGATCTGTGTACAAAGACATAAACAGAAACTGACAACAAAACATGGTCAGACACAGTCTAGATCTGTGTACAAAGACATAAACAGAAACTGACAACAAAACATGGTCAGACACAGTCTAGATCTGTGTACAAAGACATAAACAGAAACTGACAACAAAACATGGTCAGACACAGTCTAGATCTGTGTACAAAGACATAAACAGAAACTGACAACAAAACATGGTCAGACACAGTCTAGATCTGTGTACAAAGACATAAACAGAAACTGACAACAAAACATGGTCAGACACAGTCTAGATCTGTGTACAAAGACATAAACAGAAACTGACAACAAAACATGGTCAGACACAGTCTAGATCTGTGTACAAAGACATAAACAGAAACTGACAACAAAACATGGTCAGACACAGTCTAGATCTGTGTACAAAGACATAAACAGAAACTGACAACAAAACATGGTCAGACACAGTCTAGATCTGTGTACAAAGACATAAACAGAAACTGACAACAAAACATGGTCAGACACAGTCTAGATCTGTGTACAAAGACATAAACAGAAACTGACAACAAAACATGGTCAGACACAGTCTAGATCTGTGTACAAAGACATAAACAGAAACTGACAACAAAACATGGTCAGACACAGTCTAGATCTGTGTACAAAGACATAAACAGAAACTGACAACAAAACATGGTCAGACACAGTCTAGATCTGTGTACAAAGACATAAACAGAAACTGACAACAAAACATGGTCAGACACAGTCTAGATCTGTGTACAAAGACATAAACAGAAACTGACAACAAAACATGGTCAGACACAGTCTAGATCTGTGTACAAAGACATAAACAGAAACTGACAACAAAACATGGTCAGACACAGTCTAGATCTGTGTACAAAGACATAAACAGAAACTGACAACAAAACATGGTCAGACACAGTCTAGATCTGTGTACAAAGACATAAACAGAAACTGACAACAAAACATGGTCAGACACAGTCTAGATCTGTGTACAAAGACATAAACAGAAACTGACAACAAAACATGGTCAGACACAGTCTAGATCTGTGTACAAAGACATAAACAGAAACTGACAACAAAACATGGTCAGACACAGTCTAGATCTGTGTACAAAGACATAAACAGAAACTGACAACAAAACATGGTCAGACACAGTCTAGATCTGTGTACAAAGACATAAACAGAAACTGACAACAAAACATGGTCAGACACAGTCTAGATCTGTGTACAAAGACATAAACAGAAACTGACAACAAAACATGGTCAGACACAGTCTAGATCTGTGTACAAAGACATAAACAGAAACTGACAACAAAACATGGTCAGACACAGTCTAGATCTGTGTACAAAGACATAAACAGAAACTGACAACAAAACATGGTCAGACACAGTCTAGATCTGTGTACAAAGACATAAACAGAAACTGACAACAAAACATGGTCAGACACAGTCTAGATCTGTGTACAAAGACATAAACAGAAACTGACAACAAAACATGGTCAGACACAGTCTAGATCTGTGTACAAAGACATAAACAGAAACTGACAACAAAACATGGTCAGACACAGTCTAGATCTGTGTACAAAGACATAAACAGAAACTGACAACAAAACATGGTCAGACACAGTCTAGATCTGTGTACAAAGACATAAACAGAAACTGACAACAAAACATGGTCAGACACAGTCTAGATCTGTGTACAAAGACATAAACAGAAACTGACAACAAAACATGGTCAGACACAGTCTAGATCTGTGTACAAAGACATAAACAGAAACTGACAACAAAACATGGTCAGACACAGTCTAGATCTGTGTACAAAGACATAAACAGAAACTGACAACAAAACATGGTCAGACACAGTCTAGATCTGTGTACAAAGACATAAACAGAAACTGACAACAAAACATGGTCAGACACAGTCTAGATCTGTGTACAAAGACATAAACAGAAACTGACAACAAAACATGGTCAGACACAGTCTAGATCTGTGTACAAAGACATAAACAGAAACTGACAACAAAACATGGTCAGACACAGTCTAGATCTGTGTACAAAGACATAAACAGAAACTGACAACAAAACATGGTCAGACACAGTCTAGATCTGTGTACAAAGACATAAACAGAAACTGACAACAAAACATGGTCAGACACAGTCTAGATCTGTGTACAAAGACATAAACAGAAACTGACAACAAAACATGGTCAGACACAGTCTAGATCTGTGTACAAAGACATAAACAGAAACTGACAACAAAACATGGTCAGACACAGTCTAGATCTGTGTACAAAGACATAAACAGAAACTGACAACAAAACATGGTCAGACACAGTCTAGATCTGTGTACAAAGACATAAACAGAAACTGACAACAAAACATGGTCAGACACAGTCTAGATCTGTGTACAAAGACATAAACAGAAACTGACAACAAAACATGGTCAGACACAGTCTAGATCTGTGTACAAAGACATAAACAGAAACTGACAACAAAACATGGTCAGACACAGTCTAGATCTGTGTACAAAGACATAAACAGAAACTGACAACAAAACATGGTCAGACACAGTCTAGATCTGTGTACAAAGACATAAACAGAAACTGACAACAAAACATGGTCAGACACAGTCTAGATCTGTGTACAAAGACATAAACAGAAACTGACAACAAAACATGGTTAGACACAGTCTAGATCTGTGTACAAAGACATAAACAGAAACTGACAACAAAACATGGTTAGACACAGTCTAGATCTGTGTACAAAGACATACACAGAAACTAACAACATAACAAAAGAACATGAACCACCGGAAGACCAGGAAAATTCAAGAAAAGTTGACCATGCCTTTAATCCCGGTTCAAACTGACATCCTATACTTCGAAATCGAGTTATGATTACAAAGTGGTCGATCTTTTCATGTGAAGTATTGGTATCATCAGTTCAAATTAGTAAACGTAACACCATATGGTATTGACAATCTCCTATAAGATTGTATAACCATTTAAAAAATATAAGCCAATTTTGATATGCCGACAACCTAATATAGTTTGATAGAATGCATTCGCGGTATTTCTCCTGTAACTCTTAGTAAAATGTCCTCGTATGTCATTTGTACCTTATTGCCTTTCCCCCTATAATGCTAGTTGGCCTTTTAGTGAAAATGGCTGCGATACCGGGACTTATAAAATTATGACCTATGGATGCACCTATCTCATATCCTTGACTTAAATTACGAAACTCCTTTGTTTAAACATGCATATTAAATGTGTACTTACATACAGTTTCTTGCAGCCAAGTCCCTGTGGACAAATTTGATTGATGCCAGGTATTCCATTCCTTGAGCAATGTCGAGGCCAAAGAAAACCAGGTCCTTCACGAGAGGCATCTAGTAGAATAAACAATGGAAAACATGTCGGAACGAAAGTAAATCAAAACAACGAATTCCTGACAAAACTAGAGTTGAAGGTTAACGTTATGCTTAATGTCATACTTCTAAAAAGTCTAATAAACGTCTTACATTTTGTTCATCTCTGATATAGGCCAGCAGGTCTCCATTTTCCATGAAAGGCAATATGACTAGTGGGAACTCTCCCTTGTCTACGCACACGCCGATCAGAGACAGCACATTGGGATGCCTAAAGTCCTTCATCATCAACGCTTCGTTAATGAATTCTCCGATATCCACTTCTTTTGCAGACGTTTCTAAATCATAAAAAATATTAAGATACACTGAAGATGTAATATAAGCTCTAAGGTGGATTCATCTCATTTTTTGTGTATATGTACATGTTTGTCTATTGAATAACAATTCTTTGTAAATACACTACTAGGTAAAACTAACTCAGACATATAAACAGATTACAAGTTATATGTATTACATTTATATACCAGCTCATATAGCACGATTAGTGAAATGTTTATCTGTTGCAATTTTTTTTGAAATGTTTATTTTCTTTCTGCATCATATACATGATATACATTGCCTTAATTAGGTGTATACATTGTATTACAATATAGAAATTAATTTGTTTTGCTTCTTCATTTTCAACAAGATACTTACACAAGTTGCGATTATTAATACTCTGTCACCTTCATCAGACATAACATTTATCTTGTTGTATCTTATGAACCGGTATAAATTATAAACCTACCAACCTGAAGAAGATGTTTAGAAACATATGTATCATGTCATTTTTCAGATCATGAATGTTTTTTTTTGTCTCAGTTTCATATTCTTTGTGAGTCCTCCATCTCTCACTTTTTAATTAATAGATCAATGAAACAAGAAGCTGTTGTGTTCTTGAATTATTACCAATTACTTTCACGAAGTTTTAGTCCACTGGTTTTTCATTTCTTATTTTTAATTGTGGTATGTTAATCACTACACGGTCGTGTTCTAATGTTGTATAGGTTTATGCGCCTATTTGATTGAGACAATGACTATGGCGAAGTCCAATCTAACGGTTATACTAAGCTATATAATATAATTATGTAATATTCGATTATTACTATAATATGGTTATATTTTACAGTTTTACATGGTTAATGTGACATCGTAAAGAGATAAGACGTGTCCGACCATCTAATTATTTTTCCAATCTTGTTTAGTTCGTCTCACGTGTGATGATGTAAAGCTATCCATGCTGAGAAGCGAGACGATTGGTTTAGAGAAAAGATGATTATAATGTTTTTCGCAATATGTGCTAACATACTTGATCAAGGTTATGTATTCCGTCTTTGTGTATTGCAGAGTTATCTTCTCCTGGGAGCAGGTATTGATTGTTACGTCACTTGTTTGTGAGAGTAACGTCATCAATTTTTGAGAAAACGACGTAATTTTCTCACACAAACCAATGACGTAACATTCAATACCTGCTCCCAAGAGAAGATAACTCTGCAATACGCAAAGACGGAATATGCTATTTCTATACAGTATTATGTTTATTATTCCGTAAGAATAACTTACTTAAAATCGTTTTGACAGCCACGAGTTCCTCCCCCTTTTCTCCGGGCTTGGACAGATAGCCTTTATAAACACACCCGAACTGACCTGATGGAAACATAAGTATAAACATGTATTCATCAACAACAATATATTTGAAGTACTTGACTATTTTACCCTCATCAAGATTTTTAAAAATACCTCCAAATATTTCAGTTAAAGGGTTAATAAACAAGAGAACAGCTCTGGCCAGGCGATTTGTCCAGAAGTCAATATATTGTAGACAATTTTATTTTACTAGATAGCTCTATTGTAACTCACCATGTCCCAAACTTTCGCCTAGAAGCAGGTTGTCTCTGCTGACAAGAAGGTGTTGTTTCTGTAGCATGTCTATAGTTCCCAGGTCCACGAACAGGTTAGGTGGCTCGCCTCCAGTAGCCCCCTCCTCATACCCAATGTGGATGTAATCTACAAAAGACGTTCCGTGCCAATCTATTGTTCATACACTGAAACATTTTTTTGTTTTTTCATTTCACGAGTTCTCAAAAATATTTCGAACTTCCGTTTAAATCTCTGTACCGATTACAATTTCGTCTAATCTAACACTGTATTTTACATGTCAGCAGCCCAAATATTCAGCTGAAATCAAAGGTAATAATGGTCTGGAATAACCTAGATTTCCTATATTTCTATCATACGATATATGATAAAGATTTAAGCATGGACAGCTTTCAGTTGGCATTCATAGCTAATATGAATGCCATCTGGATGTGGTAGGGTTATATAGTTGCAATGCCATACGATTGTAAATATGTGTATATATGTAAACGTATATCATCCTATCAGACTTTCTATCAGGAAAAAAATGTCATGAAATTGACTAAGTCTTCCATGCTAAATAATTAAATAAGATTGACACAAGCTTAATTGCAAGATAAAGATTTAGTATAAAAATATGTATATATAAACTTCGAAAAAGAATGTATTATTTACACCGGTGAAATACACTTTCAGGGTTAAAACTATTACAAGTATAAAAATACATTCAAAAATGCAAAGGGAATTTGTCGAGGTCATTTCAGATTCGAGTGAAAAGAAAACAGCTTATGGAGTTTTTCACTATTTTAAATTTATTTCATTGAGGTTAACCATACTGAACAGTAATTATAAGAAGGCATGGTCAATTCCACAACATCGTTCGGCTGTTTTGACCTATTGAACTCATCGGTGAGTCAAGGGGCAAAAAATAAAAAATAAAATAAAAATAGTCAAAAGTAATGTTGAAAGAGAGGGGCAGGTGCGTAGATCCTCTTAATCTATAAGTTTCAAAATAGAGAGGAGTTCTGGTTAGTTTCAAATTCAATAATCTGTAAGTACGTATATCATGAACCTAAAAGTACGTCCTATTTATGCAATGAAAATACGTGACGTCACGGAATTATCACATGATCATTGCCCAAGACTGGCATGATTTTTCATTGACGAAGAGAATATTTCTCGTTGAATATCATATCATTTTTACTCATGCGGAAAGAACCAACCTGCTATTAGAAACTTTTAACAACAGAAGTTGAGTTTACAAGGTGCATGTTATGTATCACTATGTTATGTCAAACACGACATGCATGCAATACTTACTGTTTGGAACTGAACTAGGCTCATCTGTCTCGATCCGCATCAGGTTCTGGAAGGTCATTGCCCCCTCCAAATCATTATTGGTGCTGTAGCCGCCCCTTCGTCTCTTCCGGCTCCTCCCTTTTTTCCTCAAAATGATACACACGATGACGAGGATGAAGACAAAACTAATGGCAATACCAGTCCAAAGCCAGTTCTGATAGCCGGGACTAGCGACAAGGGGTAGTCTCGTGTGTACAGTAATATTCAGATCTCCAAGTTCCATCAGAAACGGACCTACCTTCGCCTGAGTATAGAAATAGTTCAGATTAGACAGATAAGATAGTAAATAGAGACATTTTAATGACTGATGAGGTATGTGGTAGTTTCCCAAAAAATGTAAAAATGTTCAGCAAAATCCCTAAGATATTTTTACCTCGACCTTTAGATCCAGCAGCTTCTTAGGTCATGTTTGACAGTAAAACAAAATCAGATATATTAAACTTGCACAAATGCCATTTCTATATAGTAAATACTTATAATAAAACATTATAACCTATCAATCTTTTTGTGTAAGAAACAATTGACATGCAATATCATCTAGTCCATTTATACGTCAAGTGGTTTCGGTTTTCTTTTACACCAGTTGTGAAAAGACTAGAAACATATTTACTGCTACGGTGGGAAAACGGAAACAAACCTAACCAAATCATAACCGTAACAAATTGGTACTTTTCATTGCGAAACCGAGACCGTGTAACATAGATTGATAACAAATATTCCGTCTTTGCGTATTGCAGAGTTATCTTCTCTTAAGAGCAGGTAATGATTGTTACGTCATTGATCTGTGTGAGAAAATTGCATCGTTTTCTCAAAAATTGATGACGTTACTCTCACTAACAAGTGACGTAACAATCAATCCCTGCTCCCTAGGGAAGATAACTCTGCAATACGCAAAGACGGAATGTTGTTAATGAGCTTGATGTGTTCAAAACGTAAAATATTAAAAACACAAAAACATTCTATTATTAATTAGGAAATCTTACCAAACAATTACAGAAATTGTTAATCGGTAAATTCAATTGTGCTGAGAAACTCAATCACAATGGCACTCAGCCAAAGATTACGTTATTATATCCCCAAGTGTTTTGATACGGTATTTTTTTCGTCGTTGTAGGTAGCTTTAAAAGGCTATAAATATCAGACAAAAAAATCCCATAAATGTTGGCATAAATACTGTAATAACTGATGCAACATAATGCAGTGTACCTATACATTGTAATGATAAGTATACCATTTGTTAATTAGTTCCTGTAAGAGATCAATCTTTATTCAGAGACCACCAATGGCATGACCATGAAGCTGTTTCTCACTGCATGGAAATAGGAGCAAAGGTAAGCATTAAGAAATGGTCTCTATAAAAAAGTTAGTCAACGAAGTGGTTTCGAAAGCAGGAATGACTGTATTAAAATGGTTAGACAAGTGGATTAACATACAACAGTATTTACATAAACTATTTTACCTTCACATGGTGCAGTTTATTATTCCGATTGGCCCCTAAATTAGTCAGGACATACGACATGTCACATAGCAGTCTGTCACTTTCTAACGTTATCACTGGACAGCGTACGCCTTCAATGGTCACATTATAATCTCTGGCGTCATATGCCATGGTAAGATAACGCCCCTGAAAAATATTTAAAACATGTCAAAATTGATGTCATAGTTAACTAATTACCAATTATGAATAAATAAGTTTGTGTTAAAAATATTGCTAAAATTGCTTATTGCAATAATTAACATTGGTAATATGAAGAACAAGAAACTTTTAATAAAACTAATATAGAATTTTTCTCTGTTAACTACTTGAAACAAAAGCAAGTTTGGACGTAAATATAGCATAATTCAATTTTGGGATTCATTTCCGTTTCAGAAACTTTGTTCTTGCACAATTTTGTTAAAATATACAAAAAGCGAAAACAAGAGCGAAAATATAAACAACAAATTATCTCCCTTTACATTATTGATCGTTTTAACTTTTTAACGTATTCATATTTCTGTACTGAATCTTAAGAAAAATCATATAACATTTTTCGGAGAAAGATTATGAAATATTACATCCAAAAAAAGAAAGGAAACAAACAATTATCAGCACGTCGAGTGCATTCTTCTTCTAGTTGTAGATAGAAACTTTGTTTTAACTACTGTATCAAATATCTATGTGTTTTCCTAAGACATATTCCTATATATTCCTAGTATATAACATAAAGATAAAATCAAATTCTCAAAAGAAATTCCATGCAACAACATTTTAACCGCAATCTGTCTAGAACTGTCATATTTTCTCGTTGACACAAGTGTATTATCTCGAGATAATTAACCGGGGTTACTCTTTTATATCAATTGCAGTTCATTATTGTTAAGTTAGGCTTTTAGAAATAATGCATTTTTTTAATTTTTTTTTTAAATCAATATAAAAACCAAATTGTAGAAGCTTGCATTTAGAATCAAAATTCTGTTTTCGTTGTCCAAGGATATATTTTGTGTGACGGGGTAGAGGACCGGATCGTTGTAGACCATGATTCTCCGGTTGGCGTTTCCTACGGGAAAGCCGTCATCCAACACGAGGGTTAAACTTCCACTAACACCTGAGGGTACACTGGCCAGAAGGGTTGCAAGACTGGGGTAAGTACACTCTAGCAACGTGGGGTTGACCACTTCACACTCCTGTGTTGTCACCTGGATTGTATACATGATATATACCGAAATTAATAAAAAAAAAAAGATTATTTAGTCGAAATAATCTTCTTTTAAAGCATTTAGGACTGTTAAATAATCCTAGTAGAACTAGTCTTTAGTGTTGTAAAAATAAGGTTGCATTGGACCTAAACTCGTTAACTATGACACGTCCGTTTGCCAGTAGGGTCAAGGTCGCAGTTCCATTTCCGGTTCATGTAATATTAATCTTATTTCATTGCTGTACATTTCGTTTCATTTATGGAAAGGTTAATACTTCCCTGACAAATTTCAGGGTTCGTTTTCAAGACAACCAATCAATAGAAATCAATAGAGGGAGTGGCGTGAATCCTTCATGGTCATCTTTTTAATCTCGTTTTATAAGCTCTAGATCTGCACTGTTATTACACTTATATAATAACTTACAAGAAAGGAACGATGTGATGGTGTTACTGAAATTAATAGTAGCCAGATAATATTATGTCTACATATGTAATGGAGATTTAAAAACACATTCACTGTTAGATCATTGTATTACGGACCTCTGTGGCTGACTGGTTGTTCCTCACGACGATCTGTAAACTCGACATCGATATAGCATCAAAGTTTTCTCCGGTGACAGACACGATTCTTCCACCCCTGTAAGAATAAATCCGGTATGATAACTATTTATGTGTATGACAGGTTGGGACAGAACAGGACAGGATGGGACACAATGGAACAGAGCAGGACAGGATGGGAAGTTAGGGACAGGACAGGACACGATGGGACACGATGGGACAGAGCAGGAGAGAACAGGACAGGATGGGACACGATGAAACAGAGCAGGACAGGATGGGACAGAACAGGACAGGATGGGACACGATGGAACAGAACAGGACAGGATGGGACACGATGAATCTGAGCAGGACAGGATGGGACAGAACAGGACCGGATGGGACACGATGGGACAGAGCAGGAGAGAACAGGACAGGATGGGAAGTAAGGGACAGAAAAGGACAGGATGGGACACGATGGGACAAAAACAGGACAGGATGGGACACGATGGAACAGAACAGGACAGGATGGGACACAATGGAACAAAGCTGGACAGGATGGGAAGTTAGGGACAGGACAGGACACGATGGGACACGATGGGACAGCGCAGGAGAGATCAGGACAGGATGGGAAGTAAGGGACAGAGTAGGACACGATGGGACACGATGGAACAGAGCAGGACAGGATGGGACAGGATGGGACAGAGCAGGAGAGAACAGGACATGATGGGAAGTAAGGGACAGAACAGGACAGGATTGGACACGATGGAACAGAACAGGACAGGATGGGACACGATGGGACAGAGCAGGAGAGAACAGGACAGGATGGGAAGTAAGGGACAGAAAAGGACAGGATGGGACACGATGGGACAAAAACAGGACAGGATGGGACACGATGGAACAGAACAGGACAGGATGGGAAGTAAGGAACAGAACAGGACAGGATGGGACACAATGGAACAGAGCAGGACAGGATGGGAAGTTAGGGACAGGACAGGACACGATGGGACACGATGGGACAGCGCAGGAGAGAACAGGACAGGATGGGAAGTAAGGGACAGAACAGGACAGGATGGAACACGATGGAACAGAGCAGGACAGGATGGGAAGTAAGGGACAGAACAGGACGGGATGGGACACGATGGAACAGAGCAGGACATGATGGGAAGTAAGGGAGAAAACAGGACAGGAAGGGACACGATGGAACAGAGCAGGACCGGATGGCACACGATGGGACAGAGCAGGACAGGATGGGAAGAAAGGGACAGGACACGATGGGACAGAACAGGACAGGATGGGACACAATGGAACAGAGCAGGACAGGATGGGAAGTAAGGGACAGAACAGGACAGGATGGGACACGATGGGACAGAGCAGGACAGGATGGGAAGTAAGGGACAGGATAGGACATGATGGGACACGATGGGACAGAACAGGACAGGATGGGACACAATGGAACAGAGCAGGACCGGATGGGAAGTAAGGGACAGAACAGGACAGGATGGGACGTGAAGGGACAGTTACAAGTTACATATATTCAATGTAAAGAAAAAAGCATCTTAATAGTTTTATACAGTTTCATTTAATACACTCCGATAAAAATATTTAATGCCAATTTAGCGTTAACGTCAAAAATGACAAAATAAAAATTATGCATTAAAATTAATAGTGTATTTATTTAATGATTGTTTTAAAAGCAACATGTACAATTAATTCAAATTTCAAATATAGTCGCTAAAAATATTAAGGCGGACATTGCTGGATACCATAGTTACTATACCCAATTGTTGTAGACACTGGTTTTATGTTGGTAATGACCGGATCAGCCATGTAACAGAAGTCCTTGATGGATTCCAAAACGGTCCCATCTATGTTCACCACCACTGGGCCGGAACCAAGACAAGATGGCTGGTTGGTACCAGAGCCAGAGTTTGTAGACGTCCATCGAGTCAATCGGCAGACAACGTTGTCATTTTCCACCCTGTACGAACAACAAGTAAAATAGAAATCACAGTCTTGTCTTATAGCAGACAATGTTGTCATTTTCCACCCTGTACGAACAACAAGTAATATAGAAATCACAGTCTTGACTTATAGCAGACAATGTTGTCATGTTCCACCCTGTACGAACAACAAGTAAAATAGAAATCACAGTCTTGTCTTATAGCAGACAATGTTGTCATTTTCCACCCTGTACGAACAACAAGTGAAATAGAAATCACAGTCTTATCTTATATATTTTTAATGATATTGGCTTATATTTCATCTATGTTAGGCCAACCTTCGCTTCCATGAAAATTGCAGATAATTTAACGTTTTTCACATGCCTTTCTCGAAACAGCAGTTTTTATTTGTTTTTCTAATCCCATGCGTACCGTGTGCACATGGAAAATGGGCTTTCAAAGTCGAAAATGTATTTCAATTTTATCAAGAAGAAAACACTTTTATCATACTACCTTTCCAATTCACAAACAGATTGCGAGTCGGACACGTCTATAGCCAACGATGATCCTATGTCCAGATTCTGTCCTGTGATAGTTAAGGACGTAGATCCGGACTTTGGCCCATGTTTGGGATGGAAGTCGTCGAGTGAAGGTATCTGAAAACACGAAACCCATAAAGGTAAGTACTTATGTACCAGACAAAAGAGGAATGTAGTTAATATAAGCTAAGCCCGAAAGTTATTAGGGGACATTGTTGGTGTCCAACACTGTTTTTTTTTAGTTATTTCTTTGCTAGTTTCTCTTCTCAGGAAAACATTCGTTGCTAGAATAATTTTCAAGAGGTAAGAACCATTGTTGAATTGTGAATTATGAGGCAGCAGTCCTCTCTATAGCATTTCATGTATTGTTACAAATTTTCAAACTTGTTTCCAAGAAACTAAGCGCGTCTTGATGAATCACAAATTGTTAAAACATGTAGATGTTAGATTTCCTTACCCTAAAACAGATCGAACTTGTCATGGTGTTGTTATTAAGCTATTATGAAATGGGAGTCCGAGTTGTTAAAGTAAGGTAGCAAATCCAAGGTTTGTATTTAATAATATCAATTATCTGCCAGAGACACGACACTCGATTATCCTTGCGATTGTAGGTATATATAGGCGGAAGTAATATATTTGATACGAGTACCAATTATTAGGTTCTTAGCTGCATCGAATTTGGGTCGTGAAAATAAATAATAATGGTGTCGGAAGCCTAGGGTTGTTCAGACCTTTATTAGGCTCCCAACATACGTCCTAGCAAACTTTTGTAATAACAATGAAAGTATGGTCATTTATTTGTGTGTTTAGTCTTCTATCTGATTCCAACTATGTGTGTCTAGTGGCCGTGGTTGGTTGGTAGAACAGATAGCACACAAGGATCTGTCAAAACTGAAGTGTCGATTTAGAAAGACAATAACTTCTGTGGAGACTGGATGAATACAGGTGACATGGAATTAAGTGTCTCTCCTACATAAACCGTGGCATATGTGTTATCAGGATAACCATTATCAACGTAGATTAAAAGAAGAGAGTTTTCCACGTGACCGATGGACCCCAATGAACATTATTTTAACTTTGTAAAGATTTTATCTTACCAGAAACTCAAACGTGGTATTCTTTGAGATTGACTGCATGCTGTGTGTGCTGTTTGATATTTTAACGACTACCGAAGCATTGTCACTTTTGTTGGATACGGCAGTCTCACACACGATGCTGTAAAAGGACAGAAAGAGATAAAATGATAAGAGAATCAAGCCTTTTGCTGAGTTTCTGCAGTTGTCGATATAAAGTAAATGTTTCATTTATTTCTCTGGAAATATTTTCTGTTTTATTTCAGTACCAAAGAAATGACCAGCAAGCAATCCATGGCCATAGTGATGATGGGTCCCCATACCATTGCAAAAAAAATGTAACTAAGTGTTGAAAACGGAATGGCTATAACTTTGATTAATCATTTCTGAAAAGAAAATAATACCTTTTGGGACTTTAATAAAAAATAATAAAGAAGAAATAAACAAAATATAATCAACAGCAGGGCTAGACCGGGGTTTGAATACTGGGTCAGTTCAGATTGTTTTACTACCGCTCTAACCAGTAGAGATACCTGGTAAACGGAAGTGGCCTCTGTCAAACGGAAGTGCCCTGGCCCGTTTTGCTACAGTTATATCCTTACTGAGGTTAGGGGGAGGTAACTGTATATGTGGAAAAACCACAGCGCAGTGGAACAGGGTTCCTTAAAACAACCATTCCACAAATACCACAAATTAAAATCATTTATCTTAAACGACATTCAATACATTCAATATACATTGTATACTGATATATGTTTTTATTTGATTATTAAATCCTTACTGATTTTACAACATAAGCCATATCTCAATTACTTCATTTACATGGTCATTTTAATATTTCAATCAATCTAAATTTTAGTTTATACGTTAAATATATATCAAATGTTACTGGGTAAACATTATGAGTCAGATCTTTTTTACTTGATTAATGGTTCCATCGATATCCCTCAATAGTACCATATACATTGCTACTCATATTTAAATTTTCTCTTACTTTAAATATATATATATATATGTTGTCTCTCTTATCTAGTATCCGTTACTGGATAGATATAGTGGTTTTGGACTGGATCCACAATATAGATCACACATCTTCACCCAAATTTATCAATGATCTCTTCACCACTTTTTTTTTTTTTTTTTTTTTTTTTTTTTTTTTTTTTTTTTTTTTTTTTTTTTTTTTTTTTTTTTTTTTTTTTTTTTTTTTTTTTTTTTTTTTTTTTTTTTTTTTTTTTTTTTTTTTTTTTTTTTTTTTTTTTTTTTTTTTTTTTTTTTTTTTTTTTTTTTTTTTTTTTTTTTTTTTTTTTTTTTTTTTTTTTTTTTTTTTTTTTTTTTTTTTTTTTTTTTTTTTTTTTTTTTTTTTTTTTTTTTTTTTTTTTTTTTTTTTTTTTTTTTTTTATTAATTTTCATTTTTTTTACATGACATGATACCACACATATGGTATATGATTGTTAAGTTGTTAAAACTTCTTAAGAGTTGTTGTTAATAATTTCTTTTTAATTCACTATGAATACATACTTGTCAAGCATGTACCTATATACAGAGACAAAAAATTATTCCCACACGGACATATCTACACTTACAGTTAAACACTCACACAAATTGATATATAAATAAATTATTAATAAATAAATGATATTCGTGACATTAGGTATACAGAAAAAAATCAAATGCACACAAAAGACAAAGGACAAGACATGTGGGACAAAACAAGGACAAGGGAAACCTAGGTCAGAAAGATGTTATATTAATTTCTTTTAATTTTTAAATTTGCAACCAGTGAAGTATTTGTGTGTTAATCTGTATTTTATTTTTAATATTACTTTTAGATATTAGAATTTTGTGAGCTTTTAATTCGAATTTGATATGATTTTTTTAGACCATTCAGATTGATTTCTATTTCAAGGCATTTTGATTTATATATGTATTGTTTTACCGTGAGTAATATCAGGTTATCCATGTTGAACTTTGTATATTTATTAATTTGCTTGCCAAAGATAAATTCTTTTTTATTAAATCGAAGACCAAGATTTCTTATATTTTCTATCAAATCAGATACCTTTTCACAATCCCATAATATATGTGTTATTTTTTCTGGATGAGTTTTACAAAAAGTGCACATACTTGATTACCATTATCACTGATCCTTAAGCACTACACGATTAATATTATCATACATATTTTTAATTACTACTGAAATAATGGAATATCTGTTTACAATTTTGAAACATAAAAAACATCGTTATCCAGAAATAATACGACATTGACCAATCAAAGACCAGTATTAGTGAATTGATCGTGACGTTTGATATCATTTATTTTACTGTACTATATAACACGAGTCACTTGGCCTACCTGGATATATTGAAGTCAGGCTCCAGACACTCAGTGTCACCAATAAACACATGTAAATTCCCTCCTTCAGAGTGGTTGAAGTACCGTCCCTGTATTGTCACCTTCGTGTGTCCGTCTGTAGTCCCATTCTTTGGAAAAATCTTTAAAAAATATTCCAAAAAGACGTATAGAATCATTCACCCCTTTGGGGGTGAGATAGGGGAATCTCAACCCAAGGGGAAGATTCTTAAGTTGCCAAACACGAGGCTTTGCCGAGTGTTTGGCAACTGAAGAATCTTTTCCCGAGGGTTTAGATTCCTCTATCTTACCCACAAGGGGGTGAATGATGCTTTTTCTCCTACCCTGTTCTTCCAATGTGTATCATATACACAATGTAATGACAACGTTACATGCTAAATTCAGGGTTGACGTGTCGTTGATGGATTGTTGACGTGACGTCATTGTTTTGTTGAAGGGACGTCACACCATTGTTATGAATAGGGGAATCCCCCCGTCTCAGCCCTAGGGCGGAGACAGATAAATATAGCACCGGCAAAACGGGAGATAAATCTGTCAGGTGTGGGAGAAATATTTATCTCATCTCGACTTAATTGGCGCATATTTTTATACCATTTGAAGCCTGTTTGCTGTTCCGTCTTTGCGTATTGCAGAGCTATCTTCTCTTGGGAGCAGGTATTGATTGTTACGTCACTTGTTTGTGAGAGTAACGTCATCAATTTTTGATAAAACGACATAATTTTCTCTCACAAACCAGTGACGTAACAACCAATACCTGCTCCCAAGAGAAGATAACTCTGCAATACGCAAAGACGGAATAGCAAAGCATGCGCATCCCAGTCCATGTAAAATAATAATAAAGATGTTTCCACGTGTACAAGCTCCAACTCAATAGACAAAATTAATTCCATGCATCAAAATTAAACGTTAACAAGAGAAATGAACATTGGCTAAATCAGGTTTTGAAAACCAAGTAGCATGAAATCAACATTATTAAAATACAATATAAAATTTAGAAAAAAAATATAATATTGAGGTAACAGCTTGAGTTGTAGCATGGACAACTTGTTTTGCGCAAAGAATCGCGTGTTCCCAATTAGTCATACATAACGGACAGAATAAGCGCTTTGCAAATTGAGTTTCTGTAAAGAAAGAAAGAAAGGTAAATCAGCAAAAAAATATTTGGGCCTGTTACAGATTACCATCAGCTATAAGGAAGTCAAATACCCTGGCCAAATTCAAGAAGGACGCCTCTTCACGTTTTAGGCTCTTTGCACAGACGTCATGCACATACCATCTTTTATTTATTCATTTATGTGCATGTTGAGATGGTTATCTTCTGGCTTGATTGTAAGCCGTTTTTGTTTAACATTTATAGCTAATAGTAATATCCATATATTGTAAAGCGCTTTAGAGTAATTTTACAAATTATATAGGACCTGTATAAATGTTGTATATTATTATGTAAAATAAGTGAATTCTGACCTTGAATACCTCAGGAGGACAGGTATTGTTATACCATAGGTGATTCATGCAGCCATTCTGCGTGGTGCAATGATCTCCACACCAACCGCACCCCAAAGGATCCAAAGACGTCACACAGGCATCACAGTCGGTATGGATACCACAGGAAAATATAGATATCTTCATAACCTCGAAACAAAAGTCCTTCACCCATTGATCATTTTGAAAATGATCGACAATTCTTCAAATTAGAGCGAAAAACGTGTTTATGAATTTTGTCTTAATTGTCCAACACACACAATGTTGGTGATGTTTTATAACAATTTCATTTCAAGTTACAATGTCGCAATATGTCGGGGAAAATGTTTTTTTTTTTAAATTTGAAGTTTTTCATAAACATTATAATTCTATTTTAAAGTTCAATTAATATGCATTTGCGCATTCACAAGATGTCACGAAAGCAGACTCCAACGAACGGCGACTATGTCTTCGACTGGATCAGATGTAATGTTTACACAATAAACATGGACTAAGAGTGATACAATTAGCCGATTCACTTCTTACCTGTCAAGTAATAGCCTCGCAGCTGTGTGTGGTGGACAAACACTCGTTGAGAGCTTTTCATTAGTCTAAGGTATCACCGATGTTCAATTTCGCTTTATCGCTTGTTTTTCATTTTTTCACATCGATTCTGTCTACCTACTTGATCGACCGCGTTTGAGAATGGACGTCGCCATTAAATCGTACGTGTCATCGCATGCAAGACATTATATCAATATATTATGCAAGATATCATTTAATTCGTTCTTATTTTAAACCTTTGACGCATTTTACGTTCTGAGTATGGGATTAACGAAGAGTCAATATATTTTTCTATCTGAGAAAAATAGCAAATGCCAGTTTTAGCCTGGCGATTAAAAACAAAGAAAGAGCGAAGGCTGACGACACGACAACTTTAAGCATTGAACTCTTTTCAGGCGGCGTTCATAGCCAATATGAATGTTCATTGGAAATTACCTTATTGTCCACAAGGAGGTATAAATGCTGCTTGCTGTTATCAACGCCGTGCGACTTCTCAACTGGTACTGATCTGTCACCGCTGAGGTCAAACGTCGCGTACTTTCTGCTTTGTGCAATAGAGTTGTACCCACTGCTTACCTGTACCTGTATATATGTCATAGGACAAATGATAAATACAATATGTGGATAAAGAAACGGTTGTTAAACTCAAAGAAATATTAAAGCTGATGAAACATAGTGGGGGCATAACTACGGCTTACTTCGTATGCACTAGGTGGCGCCACGCAACCTGGGCTTCGGTCCTTTTTCCGATTCATTCATTCATAGAAATTATTGAAATGTTTTTATATTGTCGTGTAGTTATTACCTCATTATGTAGATTTACACAAACATACATAAAAAAGTATAACATAAATTATAATTGTATAATCATGCTTATTTCTGTTAATGTCTACACCGGTTAAGTATGTCTATTGTTTACTTTTTGTTGACAAAGTCTCGAGTATGGTTATTAATTACTGACCAAGTTCAAGAAGGATAATTCCTTATTTTTCTAATTTTCAAATTTATTTTTTGAAAAAATAAATTTACAAAATTGATTTTCAATGTTATATTTTCTGCTACTAAATAGAGAAAATTGAAGATTTGTTTCCTGATATTGATCATTGTACGGATTTAGAACGAATTTCTTTATTAAACAATCGATAACAGCCAAAATGAATGATAAAACTACGCATTTTTGTGCGCATGTAGTTATTCGGAATTCTCTCTCGGTACTACTGAAGACATTACCTTGGACAGGAATCCGTCACTAGTGCCTAGCAGGACTACAGGGTTCTGAGCCGGGGAAAGATGGGACACAAATATTGTTTCAATCTTCTGCTTCTCCAGGGAAATAATCCTATTGCTTTTATACGGATATCTGGTAGTCGCTAAACCCCGGTAATCATAGGAACCACATTCAGAGCTGTCAATTTTCTTGTCCTGCTGTTGACAGACAATAAACAAAAATGCAATATTGAGATAACCTTGTTGACAAAATAAATCGGTTTTGTGATCTTACATTATTGTTTTTACGTTTAAGGATCCCTGTACCACTGAAGGTTAAACACTAATGAATTTAACTTTTTTTTTTACAGTAACCTTCCAGTAAATTTCATTTTGGATGAAACTAACGACTGGGCCAGGAATCTTGTTTTGACTAGGTAGCTCCTACAGCGACAGTATAGATGATATGAGGTTTATGGTTCGAATACTGGTCTAGATTTTCTCCTTTAGATTACTTCATCTGTATAATTGTTCAACAAAAGCTATGGTATGTAAAACGATTTTTATTTAATATTGGGTGGGATGAGGGTCCTTATTCAGACTGAATGAGTGAATATGTGTCAATCATGAAATATAATTGGAATGATAGCCGGCGTTAAACAGCATCCACAGTATCATAACCCGATAAACAATATCCAGAGCATCATAACCCGATTAACAATATCAACAGCATCATAACCTGAGTAACAATATCAACAGCATCATAACCCGAGTAACAATATCAACAGCATCATAACCCGAGTAACAATATCAACGACATCATAACCCGAGTAACGATATCAACAGCATCATAACCAGAGATACGNTCAACAGCATCATAACCCGAGTAACGATATCGACAGTTTTATTACCAGAGTAACAGTATCCACAGTATCATAACCCGAGTAACAATATCAACGGAATCATAACCCGATTAACAATATCAACAGCATCATAACCTGAGTAACAATATCAACAGCATCATAACCCGAGTAACGATATCAACGGCATCATAACCCGAGTATCAATATCAACAGCATCATAACCCGAGTAAAAATATCAGTGGCATCATAACCCGAGTAACGATATCAACGGCATCATAACCCGAGTAACGATATCGACAGTTTTATTACCTGAGTAACAGTATCCACAGTATCATAACCCGAGTAACAATATCAACGGCATCATAACCCGAGTAACAATATCAACAGTTTTATTACCTGAGTAACAATATCAACGGTATCATAACCCGAGTAACGATATCAACAGCATCATAACCCGAGTATCAATAGCAACGGCCTCATAACCCGAGAAACAATATCAACGGCATCATAACCAGAGTAACGATATCAACGGTATCATAACCCGAGTATCAATATCAACAGCATCATAACCAGAGTAACAATATCAACGGCATCATAACCCGTGTATCAATATCAATAGTTTTATTACCAGAGTAACAATATCAACAGCATCATAACCAGAGTAACAATATCAACAATATCATAACTTGAGTAACAATATCAACGGCATCATAACCTCAGTAACAATATCAACAGCATCATAACCAGAGTAACAATATCAATAGCATCATAACCTGAGAAACAATATCAACAGCATCATAACCAGAGAAACAATATCAACAGCATCATAACGAGAGTAACAACATCAGTAGCATCATAACCAGAGTAACAATATCAGCAGCATCAAAACCTGAGTAACAATATCAACAGCATCATAAACTGAGTATCAATATCCACAGTATCATAACCAGAGTAACAATATCAACAGCATCCTAACCAGAGTAACAATATCAACAGCATCCTAACCAGAGTAACAATATCAACAGCATCCTAACCAGAGTAACAATATCAACAGCATCATAGTCTGAGTAACAATATCAACAGCATCATAAACTGAGTATCAATATCCACAGTATCATAACCTGAGTATCAATATCCACAGTATCATAACCAGAGTAACAATATCAGCAGCATCATATCCAGTGTAACAATATCAGCAGCATCATAACCTGTGTAACAATATCAACATCATCATAACCTGAGTATCAATATCCACAGCATCATAACCAGAGAAACAATATCAACAGCATCATAACGAGAGTAACAACATCAGTAGCATCATAACCAGAGTAACAATATCAATAGCATCATAACCTGAGTACCAATATCAACAGCATCATAACCTGAGTAACGATATCAACAGCAGCATAACCTGAGTATCAATATCCACAGCATCATAACCAGAGTAACAATCTCAACAGCATCATAACCCGAGTAACAATACCAACGGCATCATAACCCGTGTATCAATATCAATAGTTTTATTACCAGAGTAACAATATCAACAGCATCATAACGAGAGTAACAACATCAGTAGCATCATAACCAGAGTAACAATATCAATAGCATCATAACCTGAGTACCAATATCAACAGCATCATAACCTGAGTAACAATATCAACAGCATCATAAACTGAGTATCAATATCCACAGTATCATACTCAGTTATAAAATTACATAGTTACTTAATAGAATTGCTGCTTTGCCCTTTGGTCGAAGAAAAGGAGAAATTTGATATATACCTTTTTATCGAGGGATTTAGCTTGTATTTAAAGTAACTAACACACGACTGATAGAGGACTAATTTCCTGGATAATAAGGTTGATGGTAAAAGCATAGATGTTTTATTTAACGAGTCACTCATATAGAGAGCAATAAAATAGAAATATATTTAGCAATAACATATATATTATCATTGTCCGTAAAAAGGTTTAAATGGTGAATTTGAACATGTAAAATATTTTAACAGAACTCATGTACACAAATGCAGGTTAAAGATTATGTTCTTCGTGATTAACATTAGTGTTCTATTTAGGAATTTATATTCAGCAGTTATTATATATTAGCGCTTTTGAATAATCGAGAAAAGAAGAAAAGAGCTTAACGGTTACAGCCTAAATAAGTTCGTCGTTGACAGCTATGTATACTTACAGTGCACAGATGATTTTGGTGAGCAACCCAAACCGGTTTGTGGACGTCATTGCCGAAGCCGTTTCTACAATCCACCTTTGCAAATGCGAAGTTATCATTAACTTCGAATTTTTGTACTGGGTAGGCGCATACACTGGACCCCCCAGTTGCTTGATTGTAGAACGCAAGGAAAAGAATCTGTTTATTTTCTGGACTGATATGTAGATGGCCCGACAAGGCAGGTTGTCTCCCCATGAGTACGTTTTCAAAATTACACATTATTGGAAGTTCGATATATGTTTGAAAAAGTTCCGACGAACAGCTCTTTTTAATTCTGGCAACTCTGGCTTCCAGTATGCCGGTATTCGGTTCTGGGTTACGGTTGAATATAAAAAACACGAAATCCTTTGTTTCAAAACCAAATACCATGTCCATGGTGAAATTTCCTTCGTATGACCTATTTAGGTTCATATACATCTGTCCTTCTCCAGCCGAATTGTCGATGTGACGGAGGTAGTGCTTATTGTAATTCGATCTTAATTCCAACACTGAGAAAATATGAGAATGGAATCCATTTGCTTTCTGTTCGAATCCCCTGGCAACATAGTGGATATATTTATTCCGGTCGTCAATGACAATAACAACATTGTTACCTGCACTTGATCCTAGAAGGCTGTCTCTGAAAAATCCTTCGTTAATGTCGTGAGTTAAATAAGACCAATCAGAAATGTTAGACTTTAAATGCGCCGAACATAGTCCTTGTAATGCTGAACCACAAACCAGTATCGGACCAGTGTCATAGACGGCTAATACACTCACTGTATTGTCAACACGTCGCGTGCTACAATCACCATCTCTGTAAAGGGGTCCTTTGCACTTCTCACCATAACTTTCAGTTACTGGACCAAGCTTCCTGTACGGTGTCTGTAGCTCTTCAAGGTCTTCCGACAGATTAAGGAGGATGTTTTTGCCCCCGACAAATAAATTAGTTCTGTCAATTAAAATTCGAGAAAGGCGACGATTCTCATCTACCTGGTAGACCCGGGATATAAATGGTGTTGTTGCTAGTGTTGGCTGGAAGGTGACACTTAAAATATGCATCAACAAGAGGAACATCTTCATAGGGCATACCCTGAAATTCAATTTTGATTTAACATATTTTATCAACAAAAATGATCTCAACATGATTTGCCATCAAGTATTGCCTAAGTAAGTCCTATCTCTACATCAATATTCGGTGGTGGACATATTATTACGCATTTTTGACATTGACTTTTTGATGAACTAATGGCAAGTTACTACTCCAAATTAATGATGTGTGAAGATAGTGTCCTGTTATTTAAAGATTAGTGATAAACAAAGTTTACAAGCTGGTTTTACTTAATTTAAATATAACACTTTGTTGTTATTTATCATGAAAAAAAATAGATCACATATTGGCTGTCCACTAATTAAGATCGAAAGCCAATTCCAGCAAATAGATATTTTGTTTACTGGTCGGGTCATGCCAATTCTTGAATGAAATAAGACTGACCATTTTAAAAGGCAATAGTTACTTCATATAGTTACTATGGTATAAACCCAATGTGTGGTATCAACAATTAAAGTACAAAAAAATGTGGTAAATTATGGTCGTTGTGTAATACAATAAAATATCAAAAAAACTATCAATTAAAAACTATCAATTAATATATATTTCTACCACAATAGGTGGGTGTTATTCAACTCCCAAGGCATCAATTAATCATTACAACTGTTGTATAACATATTGTTTATACCACACGTGGTATAAACTCTAAACGCGTTTTGATTGGCTGACACGGTGAACTTTAACCGGGACTCCTTTGAATGGACAATTTGGCGGGAAAGCCGCTCCATGAGGTGGCAGAAATGATGATACACAGAAAGTAGTTCGTCATTTTTTTTTGTGATAATAAATTTATTATGCTGGTTTCTATAAATTTATTGCTTTGAAGACAATACATTTGTTACGTACTTGTTATGATTTGTAATAAATCATAATATTTCCACATATTCCTGAAATTGTAATTTTTGCATATTAATTAGCGGCATTTTACTACAGGTCATATCCTTACGCCCCATCTGATATCGTATGCATACAGAACATTTTTATGTTTCCTCGGATTTTTTTTTTATTGTGGTAGAAACAGGTCACATAAACTCGTGGTTTATGTATATGGTATTTCTTTCACTCTCGTTAGTTATTTTTCAAAAGTTACAAAAAACACTCGTTAAAGCTCGTGTTTTTTGTAACTTTTGAAAAATAACTAACGAGAGTGAAAGAAATACCATATACAACGACCACTCGTTGTGTAACCTCTCTATATATATTACGCATACTTCATCTTTCTCATAGGAGCAAACCAGGAAGGAATCATATCAATAAAATAGAATAAAATAATATGTTTAATATGTGTTGGAGGCACTTCTATGCAATCTATCAAAAAGCAAAAGAATACATGTAAATTCATGAAAATGAATGTTTTAAACCTAGACTCATGGTAAGAACTAACTAGAACAATATCAGGAAATCTTTGTGACTGAATTTTTAAGTCTGATACATTAGTTAGAATGTTTTTGTCTTGTATACCTTTTCAATTACCACAGCCATGTAACAGAACAGTTATGCCTGGGTGATTTTGAACAGCAATATTAAGATTCTGCTGTAAAACTCGGCGAATAATGTTTTACCTAATCAGCGTTGGTCACAATCACAATGTTGAGATTCAATCAAATGCTCTTTATAAAACTCTTACTTATTAGGTGACAAAGAATGATGTTATTGGCTTGATTTCTAGAAAATCTAAAAACATTAGTTGTTTCAGAATCTGCAGAATGATTTTGACCTAAATAGCTTTTAAACTGCTTTGTAGATTGCATGTTATAAATATCAGGTGCAATTCTATTAAATTTAATTAATTCAATTACATGATAATTTTAAGTATAATGGTGGATAAAATATTCTACATGCTCTGAAAGGATATCTATTTTGACCTCCGTCATGAAAAAAGGGTTCAATTATTTCCTTTAGATAATTTGGTGCTTCATTATTTATAATTTTATATATCCGTGTGAGCGTACGCTTTTTTCTCCGTTATTTAAGGTTTCCTATCCTAACTCTTTGTATGATTTATCATGTGACGATCCTCTGTATAGCCCTGTAATTATTTTTGCAGTTTATATATTATTTTTTTTTTTTTTTTTTTTTTTTTTTTTTTTTTTTGCTTATTGTTTGCAAAATTTACAGAAAGATGATTGTATTTTGAATTATCTAGAAATTAACCGGCTATTGAATATAATGGAAATGGAAATGTAATACGTATTAAAACACTGCTGTAAATATTTAAATGGAGGTCTAATAAAGCGGCATTACCTATTATGTCATGGAGGAAGACTTTTAATATGTTAATATTAAAAGCAAATTTTATTTACACTAAAAGAAGACCCGACTTGAACATGACATCATAAAGATGATATGTTTTGTTTCCTGCGTGGAAATTCAGGCAATATTCCTTCGTACAGTGATATTCCGTCTTTGCGTATTGCAGAGTTATCTTCTCTTGGGAGCAGGTATTGATTGTTACGTCATTGGTTTGTGCGAGAAAATTACGTCGTTTTCTCAAAAATTGATGACGTTACTCTCACAAACAAGTGACGTAACAATCAATACCTGCTCCAAAGAGAAGATAACTCTGCAATACGCAAAGACGGAATATGTGAGCAAAAGAGGTATCATTTTTACATTTTTTTTTTTTTTTTTTTAGAGAAATTAGTTCTGATGAGAATTATGGTAAGAATAAAAATCAAGTAAGAAAATATCGAATGACCTACGACAGAGAAAAATCCACGAAAATTACTACAACCTAAGGGAAACATTGCATGAGAGTGTTTGCGTTTATTAAAATTATCTTCTTCAAATCAAGCAAAATCACATTTGATAACTGATGATTTTGTCAAGTTTTCCTCGTCTGTTACAAATTCAGATGATCCATGGAGTTATGTCCCAACCTTTTCATTAACACAAGTTTACATTGTTCATTTATTGATTCCTCAGAAGTTGTAAGGGACAATTTGTGGCTGAAACTAATAAAAGTTGGAGTTAGGGGTAAAATGCTTGATATGATAAAAACATGTTAAGTTCTGTCAAATCAAGGGTTAAGTTTAAAAAATGAAATTTCAGGAAGTATTCAATGCATTACCGGGATTCGTCAAGGCGAACGTTTGTTTCTTTTTTATTCGCTATGTATATAAATGATTTAGGAAATGAATTCATATTGAATGGTTTTTATGGTACAATTGATTTTTCAAAACTCTATTGGGTTTTATAGGCGGATGACATCACCCTTTTTTCCGAATATGCTGAATAGTTACAACACGGAAATAAATCTGAGGTCATGATGTTTAGAAAAGGCATTGTTTTACACGGGGGAAGGGGTATTATTATATGTTAATATTTCTAATAATTTCGAATATAAACTATATATAGGAATTGTCCACATACACATATAGCCTTATCAAAATTTAGAGTATTTTCTCATCGCTAGAGTGTTGAGGTAGTTAGTTGGCACAGACCGAACCCTGTTCTAAATGAGAATCGTACATGTATTGGTTGTGGGGTCTTATAGGACGAGTAGCATTCCCTAATGGTGTGTACCTTATATTCTAACATAAGTCACATATATATTGAGAGAAGGTATTATCATCACCTATATAGACCAAAGTTTCTGGAATTCATATCGTAGACGAAGAAGAGTACAATAAAAAATATTGCCGCTTTCATTTTAAAATATTATTATATATTTATGTTAATTTAATGCGTTGTATCACTACATTGTACAATTACCAACACTTCATCAGCATATTCCATTATAGGTCTTATGTAAGATGTATATAAGGCAGTGAGGGATTTGTTATCTTCTATATGTTTTAATAACTTTAAAATATTTGTTTTTTTAAACCTCTTTTCATAATTGTTAGAAAAAGGAAGATACCATTTAGTATCATCATTCAAAGTTAGACCTAGATGTTAATGTGTCGTATTGTCGATAACTAGTTCATCATAACAGGAAACAATTAAATGATTCTTATTATCTTTTCTTGATAAAAAAGACTGACTCAGTTTAAGAAGGATTAAAACATTACATCCCATTTCTTAGCCTATAACATAATATTGTTCATTTCATTTGGACAGTTCTGTGCCAATTCGAAAGGATTATTTTAGTGACACATTATACTGATGTGTCATCTGCAAATAACTTAATTGACTGGATATAATCAAAAACATTAATGGTCCTAGAAAAGAGCCATAAAATCCACCTGTTTGTTCAGGTACGAATGTTAATGCAAATACGTTGTAAAATCATTATGATGTCTACATTTTATAACTTGTGTAACATTATTATTAGGTACAAATTGGAGTAAAAACAGATACATGTTTTATATTATTAGAAAAAAACAATATCTATTGATGCTGATGAAGTTGAAGTGATACATGTTGATTCATAAATAAAACTGCAAAAAATAAACTTCGCCATTAGTCTTTTAACGTGAGAATGTGGATGTAGATTCAGCTTGTCAGTATTTTTTACATCCAAGTTAGTATTAGTGCCCTTTTCAAGGACAGAGTCTAATGTTTCCCAATATCTAACTGGTGATCAGGTCTAAAAATGCAACTTAGAAGATATTTATATATTTCGATATGGAAATTCACCCATATCATCTCTATGTTGTCATGTTCAGTTCGGGTCCTTTTTTTTAGTGTAAATAAATATTGCTTTTATGGTAGATTAAAACTCTTCCTTCAGGACCAGTTCTAACAAATCTATGAAAGACATCCGAGTAACAGTCCATTGTTACTTTGGAATATCAGGAGTAAGGTGTGTTTCAGTTAAACAAAGTACACAAATATCAGTTGTATATCTTAAAGATCTTACGTTGAGGTGGGATTACACAGACTACGCAGTGAGCCTGGGGTTATATTTATAGCATTAGAACAAATCCGCTAGGTAACATGATTTATCAAAAAGAAACTTAAGTTTATTTAGATGAAAAGAGACTCAGTTCAGGTATTGAATCGGTATACATAAAAGATATTTATCCATATACCTCCTGGATCTCCTGTGTGTCACATAGGGTGGCGGTGATGTTTAAACCATGATAGTTAAACACATCTTTTAAGACATAAACGGGACACATGCTATAACAGGTATGTGGTTGACATAGACAGAAATTCTGGGCAAAAACAATTTGGTATTGGCAGCATTAATACAAGTATAGGGTTTGTAAATAACGTAAGCACAAAGAACACATAATATATCAACAAAATAAGCAGATACATAGAGATGATAGACATGACATAGCATACACTGGAATGACGAACCAACAGAAATGAGTGAAGCAAAGATTTATCATATGTACATGGGTCGCTCCTTTGAATAAAATTGTATGGATTGTTTGTTACAAACAGATGCATAGAAAATATCAAAATGAGAGTATGCAATGATAACAGGAAGTGTAGATCGAGAAAATCAAGTGTAAGGCTAAAATTGTCAAATTGGTACCAAGTTCGCTTTTCTTTGTCAATGCAAATTAATAAAATATACATTATTTTTACAGTATTGTGAGTTTGATTTCACTAATAATGTCACAATAAGTTTATATCGTTCGGGAGCATCGGTACATGTGTGCCATTACTGTGTTAAATATTAATAAACATGGGGCGATACGTCTATAACATTGACGAGGCTCCTTTGGAGGTGTGAGAAACTTGTGAATTGAAAAAATCACTAAGTTGGACCTGATACGTACAGCGACGTGCTTTAAGTATTCGGCATTGGTATTTTACACAATACTCTAATAATTTTCTCCCTTTTTATGATATGAATGTTCCTCATTTCGTTTCTTATGCCGCCTTCTTATTCACTACTGTAATAGGAAATGATCTAGTGCCTATTTTGATATAACATTGATAGTTTTTAGTTTCCTTTAGACCTAAATCTTCATTCTTTAGTACCTTTAGTACCGCTAATGAATCACAAACTCACGAAATCTTGCAGGGAATGTTTAATGTGTTTAGTTTACTCAAGTTTGAAGCACTAAGTAGGTGTTAATTCTTATTTCGTTTTTGTTATAAGAATTTTACGTCACGAGATGGTTAACAATGCTGGTGGACAATCGACGCTGAAACCTATTCTGGAAAAGTTTACTTGCATACTCGTTTGATAATTATTTTTATGTTTGTATCCAAAAGTTGATTAAGTTTAGTTTTACAAAGGTTTATAAAGGCACTTTCCCGTTATATTGTTTTTCTACATATATTTAAATAATTTTAGACGTGGGTTATCATTCTTTTGACTTCAATCTTATCATAATGAGTCCTAAATCTACAGAATGACCACATGATGCAGTAAATATTTACTTTGTCTGACTATCTGCATCTAATGATTTGATTTTTTTAATTTGTTTGCTTTCTTCTTATTTTATGTATTTTCTATATTTTGATGCTGCACTCATTTGTCATTTGTCGAAAAGAAGAAACTCCTCAGAACACGATATCGAAGTAATTTAGTGATGTATCCTTCATAAAAAGTATGCAATTTTATATTTTAAATGTTCAGCATAGTCTGTCTACAATATTATATACAATAAAGGATAGACACAGCGGCACACTATCTTTCTGAAGTTAAACTTCATGAAGGTACACTATGATTTCTGCAAGTACGGACAAACTAATTGTGCTTAATAACTCAATCAATGCTATTATGTATAAAACAGTTGGAACAGCATTGCCATGACTTTTAATTACAGTGTCTTTGTCAAATCATATACGATTTTAATCAACCTGAGTTTCCTCTGGCCCTGACATCAGAGTTGGACATTTGGACAGATAGATGTCTTGGGGTCCCACACCAGACATCTATCTGTCCAAATGTCTAAGTCCGGTGTCATGGCCAGAGGAAACTCGGGATAAATTATAACATACAACAATGCCTGTGATCTGCATTAAACATATTAAACGTTGAAGCAGTTATGCATACTTTTTTTTCTAAAAATAGTTTATAATAACACACATGTCCTTAGCTTCACCTAGTAAATGACATGTCCTCCACTAAAACATACTTGTGGTACATAAACATATTGTATAAGTATACTTAACAGGCTTTAAAGAGGCTACATAGGTCGACCTTGTTTGATTGAAGGTGGCAAGTTTACCGCTAAGTGTGTTCGTAAACAATGGTTTGTTTATAATCAGCATTCCAATATAGACATAGCATATTGTCAGTTTATTCATAGACTTACTTTATATCGTGTCGCGACATGACATCCTCCATCCCCCGTTCTCATCGCTCGACTTCCTTCTAACTGAAGCTTGATGCAGGATATCGCCGGAAAGATGCTTTCAACACACAAACACTATATATACATATCAAGTATTGTGAAACTGAGAGTAAGTGTATGTACAGTCGTATTCGGTAGATACGTTGTGTAGAGTAGTAATGTCGATCCTTAAAAAAACGTCGATTTCACTACATTTAATGATTTCGGGTAGCAACAGTTTCAATCAAAGAATTGGAGACATGAATTTCATAACCGAATTTATTGTAATTTTCTGACACAAAATTAACCCTTACCCAAATCAGAGCTATTACATTGGTTATTATAAGGTACAATTTTCTCTTATTGAGTAATAACAGCAATGATGTTTTCCTTAAGCTTTTCCTCACAGCGACATAGTCTAGATCTTGTTAGCATTCAAGTATTACGGATTGATACGTACCCTGACCTCCTCGTGGTATTTAGATGCGAATGCTATTATTGTCGTGCTAATACATTTGCGCTTATGTGTCCCCTTCACTGATATTTCTAAAAATAATATCTCCCGTCACCATTTTCTCCGATACCTACCTGCGCAGAGGCGACTAATGTGGGACCTGAACAATCGGGAGATTCCTTCTGTGTCTTTGTCTTAGGGGACACACGAGGGACCAAACGTTCTCTGCTGCTCCATGGCTATATCTGTTCTTTTCTCACTTCCATTTTCTCCTTTTTTTGTGGTTTCTTCCTTAGCAACTGTTTTCATTTATATGACTTACATTTTTGCGAGGAAGTTAAATGGTTAGAGCCTCATGTAAACTCCTGGTTTGCTTTAGATGAGACAGTGTTTATCGAAGAGCTTAACAGGACAGACAGAAAAATAAATCTTACCAAGACTTAAAATTTTACCTCAGATAAATCGATTACGTTTCATTAATAACAAGAAATATAGACCACGTCGATCTTTAAGACTTTTCTGAATTTGAAATGAAGAAAATTACAAAGTCCTCTACATAAAAACGGCTTATATGCTGTATTATTAACGTGACGTGATAGTTCGATTTTTATTTAGGTAAGATGATGTGTACAGGAATCACCGAACGAATGCGACCAACATAAAAGTTTGTCCTTGCGCATGATTTATATGTAAATTGTTCTATATATGAATATGCAAATTCTCACTGTAACCAGTTTGCGAGATGAAACTTGTTATTGTCATTGTCATTGAAGTAGGCCTGATTTATTTATTTAACATCCAAAATAAAACCTACTGCTACCGTATATGCTACATGATTCTTTTGGAAATGTAAAATTCATGAACTTTTGCTATTCTTGTCAAGAGAAGATATCTGGTGGGGGTATTACTTTAATATTTAAACCTACAAAATCATGTTATCACTTGATTTCAATCACTGACACATTCGAATTTTCACTTATCATACGCGGAAATGTTTGGCTTGATGCACAAGTAAAACTTTCCCTAGGTCAATATGTCAAGCATGTAAAAAGTGGGCCCATGCTTTGTAGGACAAAGTTCAAGAGTCAAACCAATGTTAGACATTATTTATCTGGGGATAAACAGCGAGTTGGACACATATGTTTGATTTGTTTGTCAAAATCAAAAACAGATTTATTCTCCATTAAAAGAAAATAGTTCGTCCACCTAAAAGTGTAACATTTCTAAACTCTCATATCACCAACTACCGCATTGCCACATAGCTACACCAAGCCTTTTACGATCAAAACGTGGTCCATATCATCCCAATAATGTCATCACATTGCTAATGTTTATAGGTTACACCTTATAACACTCAACAGACGCTTTGGTGTACGTTATCTCTATTTACAACATAGAACATCAGGTGATGTTATGGGTGGAACAGATTGATTTTGGTCTCTTCCATAAAAAGATANGGGGGGGGGGGGGGGGGGGGGGGGGGGGGGGGGGCAACCCACCCACAATAGTCGTTGCTTGCGATCATACAGTGGAATACAGCAGGCTGTTTTCATATTGAAAGCCACGTGAGTATATGGTACATACCTCACATCACACACAAAACACATGTGTAATTAATACTGAAAATACATAAGACACGCGGGCATTTGTTGTTCACATTAATAACAAAAGAAACACGGGTTTCTGATATTCACATATTTAACACAACAGTTGTTCCTATAGCAACACTACAACATGTTGGTATATATGTGATTTATACATCGATTGTGAGCGTATGCTATTCATACAAACTATACAACAGACGTTTAGACATGTGTTATTCCAACTTACACCTGTGTGGATGACATGCGCGTAGCTGCCTTTACGCTGGTACGCAGAAGATATCTATCACATTTTCAAACAAAACAACAAAAAACACTGCTTATTGCAACACTTTCCCCTTATCAGGTCCTGCCCTGGACCCGCTCCTACATGGATCCACTCCAAACAAGGGCTAGCTACGCGCCGTTGTATATGCTAAGTCTGCTCTTCCTACTTAGTGCGTATGTTTAACTCCTGTTTGTAATACTGAGCAGATTTCTTGGAATGTCCTTTCACTAATAACACTACATTCTGCGTTCCTGACCTACATACTTTGATAAGACCTTAAAAGCTTTTTGTTTTTCATTAAGCCGTGAACAGAAAGGAAGTAAAGGGAGCTTGTATATAGAAAACAAACACCAAAAACTGAATTTACCGAACATTAGCAAACTCCGTCTCAAAAGCGATGCTTCAGTTTTGTTCTCAAAAGGACTATTTCCAGCTATGTTTAAATAACATAAGAGCCTGCCACCTCATATTTTTTGTTTCAGAAGTGCTACTATGCTGCTGTTTTAACTTTTCCCCAACCTTTATACATCTGGAGTTATTACTTTGAATCACTCTTCTAATTATTTAGATGATTAATTAACGTAATTACTGAATGGGGGTCGCAAAATATCAGCCTGTAAGTATTTTTCAAACAAAAATTGTATCTTTTGCATTGTAGTACTTTGGAAAGGACATTTTCTTTCATGAAGTGCTTTAATAAAATATTTATCATCAAGAATGTGAGTTTAATCGAACATTTTGTGAAAATTTTAATGTTAAATATAGGATTTTTTATTCTTATTATACTTGTATACCAACATTTTTCATAATATGAAGTAGTGGTGTTATTTCAAATAAATAAACTTGGCGTGATTGATAACGGTTTTGTTAACAATCAATTTTGAAATCAAATGTAAATTTCTTTTTAGAATTTGTTCTAAAACATTTTGTTATAATATTTTTATACATTCTTTCATCAGATTTTCGTTTTACATTGCATTTAGGAGATATTTCATACTCATTTGTTAATATTCATCTCATAATGAAAAGTACGTGTATTGGTGAAGAGCGCCTTCGTATCTTCGCGAAATCTTGTAAATGTAAAGGTACACGAAATGTAAATAAAAATTCCATAATATCAATAGCTTTTGGATATACTGGCCAACAGAGGCATAGATTTCTCAAATGAAGTTAGTATTGGTCCGAAGTGCTAGATGTGGTATCTGCGTCAAAGAGAATCTGAAACAGAACGTTTTGAAGATGAAACTACTAGAAATTGTTTTCTTTTAACGATGAAGGACAGGTTTCACGGGTCCTGTTCACATAAAGAAAGTTATCTTTGTTTTAACAATTTGAACTCGAAGGGAAGCAAATTTACACTTCTGCAAAAACGTGCCAGGCGTCAATTTATTATCACGCATCTAATTGTGGTGTTCTGCGTCACCAGGTGTATGCTTATTTCATCTTATTGGCAATGACCTAAAATCTTAAGACTGGTCAGAGACAACACTGATCTACAGGCTAACATTGACAAAACAGTTACTTAATCCTCATGGATTGTAGAGTCTTTTTATGGCCGTATTCAGCATTGATATTTTTAGAACTCAATTAATAACAAATTGTTTCATTGATATAATTGAGGAAGTGCTAAAGATTGTGACTACATGTCTCAATTGGATACGGGGACCAATTTATCAAAGAACCGGAAACTAACAGAAAAGACCGAGAACTCGCACATCAAATGAAGTTTCTATCTACAAATACAAACTGTTTGGCCTAGAGGGTGAAAACAACCAGCTCTTTCCAAGAAAGCAAAGTCAGAATTCGTAAAGATTATGAAATATGGGTTAATCAGCACTCTCAAGATCTCATCTGATGTCAGATTTGTTCCAGACACAAAAGCCAGACTAAATATACTGTTTGGATTCAGTACACCACGACAACAAAAGATTATAATCCAATAAAGGTTTACTACTGCCAATGGCCAGTTGGTCAAAGAACTATGGGAATGTGTTCTCATACATCAAGTAGACTTTATTATTTTTGCTATCTTAACAATCTTCAAACTCCGAAACAGTTACACCAAAGCGCTGAGCAGTTCCAACAAAGCTTGAAATAAGTTGTTTTCTTGTGAATCTAGAATCACCAGTTTGAAAACAAACTCAAAGCCTCGCATGATTTTTTTCTTACTTCTTTTTTCCCTATGTCTGCCATTCGAACACATTTCATACCCTTGCATCTTGCAAACATTATCTGTAAATGTCATCAGCTGTTAATACGGCGTCTAACTTTAATAAATATATAAAAACAAAGTAACGAACAAACATACAATCTCTGAATTCCATGGATATTGCAAGAAAATTGTCTGGAAATCTGACAACTGATTACGCAGTAGAATGAATGTTTTGGTGGCCAACGAATCTTTTCCAAACATGTTCTCTGTTGATTAAATATTCATTCCATCTAAACTAGAATTATTATTTTTTCTGTCAGTTTTCAGTCATAATGATTAGACTATACACATAGCCATGGATTCTGCTATATAGATCATATGGTCATTTAATACCTTCTTTAAATATGTTTCAGCACATATTTTGGACTGATATTTTTGTCCTTGGTAGTTCATGACCTAGTCCATTTATGATCGAAAAAGTTTTGGTATACAAAAGTTATAGGATACTTTTATTCTAAGATGAACACATTTTTGTCTGGAAAATATCATTGCTTGAGATGGCTTTCAGCTGTTGATTTGTCTGTAAATATCTACCATAGCAAGAGA